TTTTATCAGATTGTGATAATAAGCACGTGCTTGATAAGACTCAAAAACAATGAAAAGAGTTCGTATGGACCCTATATGAAATTGTATCATTACTTATTAAATGAAATTATTACACATTTTCAGGCTGAATGAAAATTAAGTCATGTCATACACTTTGTCAACTTTTTTTTTAAATTTCAGTGATTTATCTAGTTTTGTATAAAAGTAGTAGCATTTGTTTAATAGGACAGTTGTGTTGCTCAGTTATTCATCAAGAATCAGTGGAGCAGAACGACGGCTACAGCTCGGGAAAAGTATAAGTAGAGCATATGTTACTTGAACATTTCACAAGCTCTTAAATTCACGAAATATTGACTTAGATTCCATATTTGGATTCGAGAGCTTATTAAATTCTGAAACGAAAGATAAAGAAAAACGTACCGAGCTCTAAGAAATCCATATAACTTTCGCATGTAGAAAACAGAAATCTGTATTTGTCAGTCGAGTACATTGTAAAATTAGATCATTTATTCATAGAAGTTCCATTGAGCGTCCCCGATACTTCGGTACTTTCGACTCTTTGACTTCTTTCTCTTCCAGCAAACATGACCAGCGACAAAGGAAGCACTCGAACCTGGAAGTTAAGAAGGGACGCCCTCGACTAACCGCATTTCAAATAAGATAGACACTTGTCCGAGAACCGGGGATGTTGATACAAGACGTTTTCATTGTTGTCTTTCTCTCCGTCAATAATATCGAGCTATCGAACGACTGCTGAAAAGAGGACGGATATACCTTTGAAAGTGCTCTTCCGTATGATATTCTTTATCCTCTCCTGTTTGGAAAACCAGCAAACAGAACCGAGCGATGTCCTTTAGACGGTGCCATTAGGGGTCCATTAAGAAATGCAATGAGCACTTGTGGGTATTGCGTTCCGGTGGAACTTGAAATTTTTCATTCGAACCTGGTAAACAAGGGGAGATGACCTCTTTGTTAACGTTCGGGGGAAAAATAACCGGTGAAGTTTATTCTGGTATGAAATACAGATAATTACCTCCCAGTTATATTTATGTGTCCGTAAATATTCATGTAATTTGAAACTAGTAGTGGGACTACTGCAACTACTAGTGACTGTTAGAATACATAAAACGACGAATGAAATTATCTCATACTAGTGTAAGTGATCCAATTACGGACAGATTAGTGGCCCGCTGAGCTTGTTTTTGTTAAGACATAATAAGAAATTATTGGTTTTCCTGGAATCCCCAAATTTTTGATGGAAAATTGAAAATTACTGCAGTACTGAACAAACGAAACAAAAGGTTTTTTGCCCCTATTATGGAGTGTCTTATTAAAAGTATAATGTTTAGTATTTTATTCCATAAAAATATAGTATTTATCTATACTTTCATCCATGTGGGACTTGTTAGTACTTTCGCCCAGACTGTTTGCAGAATCACGACGAAATTGTCAGATTCAACATTAAAATACGAAACTTAATAAATAATAGAGTTTAAATTGACAATGATTTAATCCTTCTTTTTTTTTCTAATAAAACCTTATTTATCATCACCTATCATTAATCGAATATTGTTCGAACACAGGAGTTACTGGCATGGATTCAACGACAGTAAAATAATTTTCAATATGGTCCAAAAGAAAACAATTTTCCATCGACAAAACGATAATGATAACCGAATGCCAATTTGAAGCAAACGATACAGGGGTGGAGGGGGTGGCCAACCGGAAGCACGTTCTCCTTCGTATTCTTGGCCTATCGTGGAACTTGCCTGCTCGCGGACACGGCCAACCGTATCGGGAAGTTGTAGGCAAAAATTATCTGCAATACACGGAAATATGCCAACGAATCTTCCGACGTTGAAGTTATATCGTGGTATTACTACAGCAGCTAGCGAAGCGTGCCCTATCAAACTCTAAAAATATCTTAAGATAGGAAGAATTCCGAGTCTCCTTCACTCCCACTCCGTTCCTCAACCCTTTTATTTTTTCTTCTCCCTTTTATCTAGCCCTTTGTCCACCTACTTTACTATTCTCCGCGCGGATTTACAGCGACGATTACAGGGAGACGATGAAACCGATCGGGGTGGGCCTCTATGTTGAATCGATACTACGGAAATTACAGTGTAACGGAAGTCCCCTTTAGCATTTGCAATTTCTTCCGTGAAATATTACTGGGCGGATGTAGCTATGGATCTATCGGATGCTCGGAGAAGTAAACACATCCCCGCAAATATTTGGCCGATACTCCACGGTACACTTTCGGAGGGGGGAGGGGATGATCTCGATAAATATCCGTGTCTCCGGTTTGGATGCATTCACGAATCGTTTCTGGTCACAAGGTCTTCCCGACGATGCGTAAAATTTGGAAAATTGTGTCCCCAACGATTCGATGGCGTTTCTAGCCAGAAAGAAATTACGCACGGTCTCCTTAGCCCTTTAATTTCCAGTATTACACAGATGTAAGACTCATTGTAAAAGTACGTCAAACTTTGTCGTCGGTTAATATCTAACTTTTGTCACCAAAGATCCCGTAGTTTCACTGATGTGAAGTAGATCTTAACGTTTTTGGTTGAGAAATTCGAAAATTATTTCCAAAAATAAATTTAAACCATTTTTTTCAAATCTGTCGGTTCGATAGCGATATTTTTAACCTAAAAGTAACAAGCTAGAACATATATATATTTCAGTTTAATAATTTTCAAGTAACGATTTAAGGATCTGGGCGTGAAAGGGTTAAAAGACCAATAGTTTTGTAAGCTTCATTTTGCTTGGGGAAAGAAAAACAAGGTTTATACAAAGTCAATACGACATTGTGGCGTGCAACTCAAAAGTACACGAGTCTAGTGATGATCAGGCACTTCGACGCTGGTAGGTCTATCGGACAGTTCTAATGTTTTTCTCAATCGTGTTTATATTACGAGGAAGATTTTTATGGAGAAGAAATTGATAAATTGACAGCGAGGCGATGCGTGGTTATACAAAATGACAGCGATTTATATCGCAACGTAAAGAATAAAGTAAATATATTGTAACGTAAGTTAAATGAAGGGCACCAAAAACGACAGAACTTCCCGATAGACTTAACAGACAGACACAAATTTGTGAAAGTTTTGAAAATTTTTGCAAGATTTATTCAATTGCTTAAGAATCTGTTAAAGGAGTTATGAAATACTTATCGATAGGTGATTTATCATAAAAAAATGAGTAAAGCACCTGAAATAAAATTTGTTCATACAAGTTGCAATTTGAATATTTATTTAATATCCGAATACTCGGACTCTATTGTCTCGTAAACTTCATCTACCATGAGAGAACATCATTCTAGGTTTTACGTATACAGTGTATAGCACATATAACCACGTGCATGACTTGTATCCACGGAGAATCGCAGATTCGAGCAAACTCCGCGGTCCGAATTTAACTAACATCGTGATGCTTGAATGCATCATTCAACACAAATTTTCGTCGTGGTCTCAAGGGCTTCTTTGAGGTCTATATACGTCTAACGAGGCGGTCGAATCATTACCGTCGGGTTACATTTGGGATCGATTCGATGCGATATTCGCTATCCGGCTATTATGGCATTTAAGCAGCTTTCGGGTGGAAAATTAGCGAGCCAGAGGTATCTAGCGTTGATTGGTACGAAACTGCGGAACATGTTTGAGGTTCATTTGCCCGCTAATGCATATATCGTGTCTGGAACAACTGAAGAGGATAATTATATATTGATAAATATTTCGGTAAATAATTAAAAACGACGAAGCAGGTCGAATGAAGAATATACAAATGTTCAGGCACATTCAGTGCTTTTAATTAATTGAAATAGCACCTTCTTTTTTCTGAAGTTTCTCATCAGCAAGTAGTATAGGTCAATCACTGAACGAAAAGAAAAAAATTTTCGTACAGAAACAGGAAATATTTTTAAATTCTGTGAGGTCGAGTGAAATGCAAACATGTCGGAAAACATAAATATAATAGAATGTACCATATAACGAATCAGGGGATTTGGTCTGCGTTTGACCAGACAAGTAGTATAAATCTGCTTCTATAACGACGACCAGAATATTCTTTAAAATTTTTATTCACATTAAACCTACCACGACCGGTCAAATCACCGGTTTTGCCGTTCTAATTCTTACCTTTTTGAAGGGTTCGGTAGGTTTAGTGTTAAACAGAGATTACAGGAGAGTAATAATACCACTAATCAGACACTAAAATTTGTATATCCTACCATAAGTAAAGAACTTGGAATCGATCTTGGTCAAACAAATGAAACAAGTTCACGCATTTTCTATCATCCAGTAAATCTACAAGAAAAGAACTTACATTATCATTCATAAATATTAGGAGACTTATTAAAAATTATGTAAAGGTATCAAACAATTACGAAATTAGTATCGTTTAGGAGGGATATTAAAACTTAATGGATAACGTTTATACTACTATAAAGTGAGTAGCGGTAGGCCTTACTATTTTTTAACAATTTTTCAACAATTTTTTCTGACCAACCGATTAATTCATGACACATGATTTCGTTGAAACATTTTCTCCCCGTAATGCGCAGAATACCTGGTTGTAAAAAAGACAATTCAACATTAATTTTCAATGTTATAAATAATGTGACGAACGATTGTTGTAAACAAATGTCCACTAATCTAAAGATGTATATTCACTCCTAAAACCCCGACATTCAATTCATTTTACACCCTATGTAATTATTACCGAACACACAGAATGTTCAATCAAAAAACAAACAAGGCTTCCACCACGGAAGGGTGAAATTTTTCCCAGAAAAGCAATCATAGTCTGATCCCAAAAAGTATTCTATAAAATAAAAGAAATCCCGCTGCTTCATTTGAGCTGCCAGCGATATAGCCCCGTTATCCCTGAAGATCATTTTCGCGTCCCAAACCGTAAACGAAATCCTCAACGACAGCCGTTTCGGTAATCCCGCTGGGCAACAAAGAAATTAACACAGGTGCCTTCTTGTTTGCTTGCAGATTGGAGCACTGAAGGAATATTTCCTGTTCGCCGACAGACGGCTTCACAAGAGATCCCTCTCGAGCAGCGAGACCCATCACAAGACGCTAAGGGATGAGCCGAGGGTAAGTGATTCCATCTTCGAAGTCTCAGGGTTAAGGCGGCGTGCTCATTAAACTCCGACGGCAAATGGGCGGAGGTGTAGGAGGGGGTGGAATGGGGTGTACCACTTTCCCCTGTTCGCGAATAGCTCGCCTCTCACCCAACACACCCTCTCCCTTCACCAACCCCCGAAACAAACTACGAAGTCACGCCGTTACATAATGTCGTACGTGCGTCGTCGTAATTCCACGAGAATATTCTCAGGCATTAAATATCATCTTGGTATTTTTCCCCTACGAAAATCATTTCATATCTCTCTTTCTCTCGGGATAGAACGTCGGTCATTTGTTTGTCCTGGTCGGAATTATGAAACGAGCCACAGAGTTTTTTTGTTTCTTTTCGCTGTTTATCTCGTAGCTGGTACAACTTAATCTGTAATTTGATTAGGATTTAAAACGACCTTAAAGCGAGATATTCTTGTACAAAAGGGATCCGTCTGGATTGTCGGACAAAAGGAAACTCGGATAACACGGCAGGGGGTGGGTGAAACGGGAACGAATTTTAAATTCTTATGTGACGCGGAATTAAAATTCGTGCATACTTTAAATGACATTTTCATGCATATGGAAAGACTTGGTTCTTTTTTTTTCCACGTGCGGACACTCTTTTGTTTCGCCGGTATAATTTCGTACGTTAGTTAAAGTTAATTAGTCGGGTGGAATAAAGTCTGTTAGTTATGGAGGATACACTGTACAATAGCTTCGGCATGGCCTTGTCATTACACATACCTCTCAATTGTCATGCCGCGTACGAACGAAACAATCGATACGCGTGGATCAATTATTACGCAGTCCAATTAACGCCCGGGATAATGCTTGAAATATCTAATGAAATTCTGTTGGACCGCTTTGGTTGTTAATTCGGCTAGTTGACCTTATTTGTAGCGTTGTACAGGGCGAATCGTGTGATAAATTATTAGTGCTTTTTGGATTATGAAATAAATAACTGGAATTCGAGTATTCAGGTGTCCTAGGTTTCGAGGTCTGTAGAATTCTGGAACTTGAGAACATCGGAATTTCGGGATCTCGAGTCCTGGGGGTCTTGGGACTTTGGAATCTTCAGACTATGGGACTTTGAGACTTCAGGGACCTTGAGGACTTCGGGGATCTTGGGACTTTGGGGACCTACAACTTTGGAAGCTTAAAATTTTCGGATATCAGAACCGTGGAGTTCGGAATATTAAAATGTTGAGAATTCGGAAGCTCGGGACCTGTTGAGTTACATGTCTTGGACCAAATCTCGGAACATTACGACCTCAGATCCTTGGGATCTGGGGATATTAGGACCTCTGAATAGCATGACATAAAAACCTTGATAACTCAGGACCTTTAGACCTTGGGATTTGGAAGACTCGAGAGTTGGAATCTTGGGCGCTGGCGATCTTAGGTTTTTGGAACTTCGGGACTTAAAGTCCTGGAAATCTCGAAACCTCGCTTTCTCGGAACCTTAAGACCTCAGAGCCCTGATATTCTGCAACTCGAATACTGAAAAATTAAAAAATTCAAACATACTGTTCCATCTTAAGCTGGAATCACGCATAACTATACTTTGCAAATTTAGTTTGCGATTTCATTATGTGAATGAATTCTCTGTTAGAAGAACAAATACAATTACAATTACAGTTAAGGTTGTAACGAGGTCCTTAACCGTAGCAAGAAACTTCAATATTACACACGTTCGATCAATCGAGAGAGGAAAAGGATGGGGTTTTATCGTCGAACATGACATTGAAGCTGAAGTGGCCATTCGATGGTCATCTCAACCTGTCGATGAAGGCTTTTCTCGCGTGTAAAAACACAATAGAATATCACTGTGTTTTCACTGATAATATTGTGGTTGGTCCACCTTTTCAGCTACTGTCTTTTCCTCGTCGATAAAGCGCTTCGACTCCAGATGAAACGAGAGCCAAAAGGTTTGTTCGACAAATATCCAAACCATTACGAGCTCCGTAATGTGTATTTGCAATCGTGTGGCTAAAACAGTCGTAATGAAAGCAAGTATCGTGTAATTAATCTGTTTCTCGTACGTTTAATTCGATACCTCGGCAGATTTTCTTCTTTTCTCTAAACGCTCAAGATTTCTTCTTTAAAATAACCCTCTATAAATCGTTGTTCATTACGATTATACTCAATTGAAGATTCAGGTAATCTGAAATTGTTATTACGCGTGATTTAATCAGATTCCACGTGAAGTCCAAAATTATTCAATATCATTACACGTATTAATTATAATAAGCATTAACACGCGTCGGTTGTTTCCATAACACACATTTCTTCTCTTTTAAATCGGACATTTTAATCAAGACTCTAATTTTTTTTTATAAATAATAATTGTCTTAAATACAAATTATCGAAGGGATAACAAGATACAGCTATACATTGCAACGAGAGGTAGTCTGGTAGGTGGTGTATACACAACACCATTGATCGACGCGACGATCCACATCTCGTTGCGGCTTCATCGCCACATTCTCTTTTTTTCTCTTCCGTGCAACACACGTGGGCGCCACGACCGTGACACTTATCGAGGCGGAACGGGAACGAGCCTAGGGAATTTTGGAGGTTGGCCAAAATCCAGAGGCCGGGAATTTTATGCTTAGGCTCTTCCCAGAGCTGTGTCGGGTCGCGGAGGGCAATATGCATGATACAATGACCGATGGCGTCCCCAAGCGTTTCACGCTTCGCCTAGCTGAAGTCCCGCCCGCGAAAACGTTTCTCCCCATTCCGATCGCACGGTTTACAAGTCACGCCATACGGCGCCGTACCCGCAATTCGCCACCCTCCTCGCTCCCATTTCGCACCCGATGAATATTCCAACGATGAATCGTAACTCGATCGAGGGTCTCTGTCTCTCTCATTTGAAAATTCACTGGTTAGGCGACGTGCGAATTTTTCAACTGCTTTTACCGTGGCCGACAACCCTCTCACCTAGCCCAGTGGAAACGTGACGATGCATTATAAACAGTTCGTGAAAATTAATTTTATTGCTCCAGTTCTGTAAACCGTGCGCTCCTTTCGCGCTCCGTAATGTTTCCCGCGTTTACGTACCCACCAGCCGCGTGTACGTATGTATTATATGTACTTTGGGGAATTTGCAAACACTGGGGAATAAAAAGGCCCAGGAGACCCACGGGGGAAATGTTGGAACGGGTGAAACTACGATGTTGCGTTTGCACGTTGTATTTGTTGTTTGTAGACCAGGGATTTTATGCATTTACGTGATATATGATTTTGTAGAATTCAGTGTTGTTGGTGAGAGTTTGATGAAGTTTTGGGAGGTTTGGTATTTTGTTTGGAATCTGGTGGAGTAGTAAATGAAATACGAAGAGTTTGATTTAATTTCAGTTCCTGTAAATTGAGCTGGAAAAATCTGTATTTGCATAAACGTGTGCAGTTTAGTTATTATGAATTGTTTGGATTGCGTTAGAGGCTGGATCTGGTTTACCGATTCGAATGTGGATTATTTGTTGAACAATTTTTCCTGTGGAGATAAATTTTTGCAAAAATGAGGAGACGTGATGGAAGTTTTTAGTTATAGTTATAATTAATTTGAGAACAGAATGCAAACAAAAGGCCTTTTGAAAAGTAACGTCTGTGTGAAGCACCCTGAGACAATTCAAAGACTCAAAGAAGAAATTGAACGCCAAATTCGTAAAATCCACCGACCCCTACTCCAAAACGTACTGCGAAATTTCGTCAAAAGAATACATACCTGCCATCGGACCAGCAGTGGCCATTTAACCTACATTTTATTTCATGTTTAATGTCATTAATAACTCTGAAGATATCAATAATAAAATGTAAAAAAACAGTTAAATTAATATATTTTATAATTTATTTAAAACTCAAGTTCTTGCTGAGACACCCTTTATAAGCTTTAAATTCCTTTATGTCACCGTCCAAACAAATAGTCGTCACTTGTAAACGCGAATGGGACCTAGAACGCTAAGAGTACCTCCTCGGCCGTTATTTTGAAAATACAGCAACCCGTGTTTCGTCGGGTCAGCTAAACTAACCAAAGACCCTGTTTCCCAGATCCTCGAGTGTGCAATCGTCTACAGAAAAATCTTTTTCCTGTTTTCGCAGGTGCGGTGGTTCCAGCAGCAGCATGAGAAGAGACGCAAGAAGAGGGACTTCGTGCCCACGTCGTACGCGTTCGGCGATTATCCGGCGTTTTTCGACGAGTTCGGCCCTCGTGCTAGGCAGGCCACGTTCCATCGGCAAAGAAACAGGGAGATACCCTTCCAGAACCTGTTCACGGATCCGCTCTTTAAGGAACAGTGGTACCTGGTAAGTGGGCCCTTCGATTCTACTTCCTTCGTGGACCGACCAAAACGAACTACGTGACGCGACTACGCTCCCCCCACCCCCTACCGGACTCGGACGTGGCGGACTTTACGACACCCCGATAACAGTTATAACGTATTCGGGATCCAGCCCCTAGCCATTTCGATTCCGTAGGATTTTCTTCGTGCCCGGACTGTCCGTTCCGTAGCAGGCTTGAATCGATGTCGTTAAATGACACAGTGCCTGCCATAAAACTGCAGATGTTTATTCTCGTGGACTGTTTCACGAAAGGTGTAACGAAAGGAAAGATTTTATGGTTTTTTCATCGTCTCCCTTTACGGTGAAACCGTCGCCGTGAAATGGCGACTATGTCTTCGTGTTTGTAACTGCTTACACCTAATACAACTCTTCGGCAATCGCTTTATAATATATATTAAGTCGTAACATATGTGGTGCCCGATTTTTTCAGTTTATGGGTGATTTATTTTTAGAGTTCCTCACTTTATCGATTTTAATGTTTCGATACCATCGTAGCACTTGTAGCGATTTGTGCAGTAAATTCTGCAAGTTGCAAGGATCTGCTTCAATTAAGACCTTTGTATCTTTATTTATCTTCTTTTTCGTCGGTCTACTGGGGTCATTTTAAAGGCTAATATTTCCAGAAAATATTTAGAAAACTAGCATTCGTGGCGAGGCGGAACGATTTTTAACCCCTCAGAAATTTGTTTTTTGCCCGAAGCCTAACCTCTGCTTAGCTTCTGTTTACTTTCTGTTTTGATTGGTTCCACAGGGGTCGCATTCATCGAGGAATCACTGTAATACGTTCATTATCACTACACTCCCTAAAAGCTGTATTAATATTACGTGCAATTTTGGCCGCAGAATGATCGAGTTTAAACTCATAAAGGAAAATGACTCGAATTTCGTATGTATTTATTGTACCGTCGCGAAAAGAATACTGAAGAATTTCCAACATTATTTCAAACAGACAGTATACGAAAGAGAAAAAACCATTTATCGATATTTAATTTTATGTAGACCATACTGCAGGCTAACGATATATTTCATGATACAATCTGGGTGAAGAATCTAAAGTGTTCGAACAGACATTTCATATGTTATGACCTAGTATTACTATATCAGGCGCGTGGTTTGTGTAACTGTGCAATAATTAGTGCAAGTTTACATGTTTACTTGGTAAACTAATTTGTTCTAATCAATTTTGTATAAGATATTGCCTAGAGTGCAGGTGACAGATTTTGTAGAACAATTATCATAACTTCCTATGAATTTTCATAAATATTCCAAAGTATTATCTCACAATTAGAAAAACAGTGGATTACTTATTGCTACCTCGAATATTTAACACTAGAACTACCAACGATAAACGAATATCTTTTTCGATAGATCGATAAATATGGCAAACTTTTGAAAATTTACTAATTTCTCTAATGTCATGTCGTAATAAAAGTCACAAAAGATCTGAGAAAATGTATTGTTATAACATTTTAATCGTCGTTGTAAGAATGTACTGACCAGTCATTTAGAAGTAATAGCAAACATGCTATAGACGCGTAAAAATTCCGTGTAATATCGATCCAGTCACGATAAAGAAATTTAAATTACGATCGACGATGCACAATTTTACGCGAATCGACCTCCCATGGAACAATTAAACGACCGTTCGTCGTTTCACGAATGCCGAATCATGTCCAATTGGTCGTTGATCGCAGCGATTGTTCGGCCCGGTGAAGTATCAGCCCGTTAAATGGCTAAATCATCGAATCGATATTTATGCGTTCGATAGAAAGGGGTTGGGGTGGGGGGGGGTGAGGATTTCGGTAGAGAGGTCAGTGCTTGTTCCGTCCCCGGAATCCTGTTCGCGGATGAAAAACATCTCATTGTTAATACCCGCAACCGTATATCCTATTTCCGCCGTTAATTCCAGAAACGACAAGAGCAGCGATCGCCCGTTGTCTCTACGCGTAAAACGATCGTTCGAGGCGACGTGCCGGGAATTATGAACCGACACGAAAAAGAAAGGCCCGAGTATAGCGGTTAGTTGTTCGAAATTTCTCGTTCGGTATCGACGAGAAGAACGAGGAAATGTCGATTCTTAACGTGCACGATTGTGGTGTCGAACGACCATAATGTCGCCGTGTGATATCTCGAATCCAGTGTATTGAACCGTAGATTATGTGTGTACCGAACAAACAGCGGCAATTCGGGGTGATTCTCTATCGTGCCAGCCGGAAATGAAATATCATGTTTGCAGTGTTTGAACATTAATTAACTCTCCTAATTGCCGGGTAGAAACAATTGAAGGGTTTCTTTTGCGCGTATCAAAACGCGTGTAACAATGATAAATCTTCGCGTGTCGGGCGAACGAATTTATGGGACAACGACGTCGAAACTTTTCGATATGATTCTAATGAAATGTTTGCTCAAATGACGAATGGCAGTGGACGATCGACGGCGTTTCCATTCGTCAATCGTTTCGTTCGGCGAATTTATTGGACAAATGTTCGATTACAGGATTCCCCCCTCCGTTAATAATCGAACAAATGTAAATGCGACGACGTGAATCGTTGTTAGGAAAATTTAGCTGCTTGTGTTGGAGTGTTTTGTAGAACAGGTTTGTACAGTCTGGTGCTGTGCAAATCCGTAGGATCGGGAATAAGAACGTTTCTTGTCAGGTAAGTAGTATGGGTCCGTCACTGGTCGGGCAACAGAATATTCAATTAAATTTGATTCTAGAATTATTGGATTCTACTTAGAATCCTATTTTTATTTTAAATTTCATTTTTAAACTCTATTTTTACTTTAGATTTTATTTTTAGAAGTAAAATGGCCTTCTTTCTAATCAGATAAACACTGTAAGTGTTTTTATCTTCAGTTATACATATAGAGTGATGTCCAATATTTCGTTTTAAGTCTTGACCAAAATCAATCTAATTTACAAATTAACTAAAAATCCAGATAGTATGTTTCAGTATTCTATTAAAAATCCATATTGCTTTCGTAAAACTGGTTAAAGGTTCTAGTAGAGAAAGACCTTCATATATCAGCCATATCGAACAGAATCCACTCTTCTGTGACAAAATATCTCCGGTACGTACAAGCGGAACTGGTACCGTACTCACAAGGGAGGCTTGGTAGATCGAAAATTATAAAAAAATTTTATTGGAAAATTTCAACATGGTTGCAGCAGTGTAAGCAAGGTAGTTCCGATAACAAGGAATACCTCTCAAGTCTAACACGTCGATTTCGATGAATTTGGTCACTGGGGTATTACACTGAAATGGATTCGACACATACTTTTTTTAATGGCAGCGGTCCAGTGAAAACAATCCTCAGAATAGTGAGGTGAGAAACAGATTTTCAACACGTCACCTCCTCGTTCGTGCTCTGATGTATTTATACTACATTTTACAGTGTTTCTCACGTTCAAGACTATTGAATAGAAGCAAAGTGATTTTTCTTCGTAACAACGTTAGACCTCATATGGCAAAAAATGTTCAGAAAAAATTCTACCACATTCTCCTTATTCTCCGACCATTGCCTAATAGGATTATCATCTATTTTGGACATGGCAACACTTCTTAGTTGATAAAAATTTTTAAAATGCCAACCAACAAGAAAATATATTACTGATCAGTAGTTTAACAAAAAACCAAAGAAATTGAGTACCGACGGTACAAAGGCTGTACCGAAAAAATAGAAGCAAGTTGTAGGAGAAGGTGACAGTTCTTTTTCATAAAATTTAAAGGTGTCCTTGAGATATTGATCAAAGTTTCGGTATAAATATCAACACGAATTTATGGAATGACCTAATTACATGAGAACTCTGTAGACAACCCCACACAGTATATCCTCGATAAGTGTCCGAAGGCTCCTCGGCCCTGAACATTAACTATTCCATAAACTAATTTCCATATGCGGTTGAAACAAACATAATTGGCTTCAGAATTGCAAGCTCTATCACTGTGCTAAACCTCATTAAAAAGTCAGCATTACACCTGGGTACCTCTCCTTGTCAGTGCCAACGAGCCTTCGAACACTCATGGAGGATTTACTGTATACCATAAATCTGTACGATCGTCAAGGTGTAATCGTATCCTTCTGCAATTCTCTGTTTCAGAACGGCGGGGCCAAGGATGGCTACGACATGAATCTTGGCCCGGCCTGGCAGAAGGGTTACACGGGCAAGGGTGTCGTCGTGTCGATCCTCGACGATGGCATACAAACGAATCATCCAGATCTGGCGCTGAATTACGATCACCAGGCCAGTTGGGATATCAACGACAACGACAACGATCCGATGCCAAGGGACAACGGCGACAACAAGCACGGCACTCGATGCGCCGGCGAGGTCGCCGCGGTCGCGTTCAACCAATACTGCGGCGTCGGTGTCGCCTACAACGCAAGCATCGGTGGTAAGAAATTGCGATTTTTCGAGCGAATACAGCACGGAGCTGGTGGGATCGCGCGCCGCGCCTTGGAACACGCCCCCGGGGGCAGTGGACGGAGACAGTTCGCCTCGGTACACCTCATAAATAATGGTCCCCCGGCTAGATCTCTCCGTGTCCCGTGCCGAAATGAAAACGCAATTCCAGCAAATTAAATTTCATCCGGATACAGGGGCCTCTTTATTAGCCGTGACTTCCTCCCCCCCCCCCCCCCCACTCCGTTACATCCACTGATATGAATTACGATTTCTTCCTCTGTGAGGTATTTTTCTCAAATCGCAACTACGAGAGGATGGGACCGTGTGACTGTTGCAATCCTGAGACTCCTTTTCGAAAGCACATCTGACACGTCTCGTGGTATAAACTGATTTACAGTATTGGCCAAAAGTATTCGACTCTGGTTCATGATTGATGGAACAGTAAATGATTATTCTGTTACGATATAATAGAAGTTATGGAATGAGTACGTACGATGTATAAATCATTTTCAATTAATTTTAGCACAATATTTTGATGAAATTTTTATAGAATAATATTTTTCTCTATCTTTAACCCTTGTGTAGGCAACCGGGTATTCAGGTACCCAGTTCTAAGTTTCCTTTTACAATTGTTTATATGCATCATACCCTGTGTTAATATTATGCTTACACACCGGTTCAATCACATTATTTGCAGCCCATTCGAATTATCATCTCATATTCTATATTTGCATCATAACACCCCAAGTCGGTCCAATATTTCATGGTCGTGTTAAATATTCACGACAAACTAACATTAATTGTATTTCAACATTCTTTAAGGGCCACGGTGATAGGATAACTTTCGAGGTGATTTTAAAGAAATTCATGAACTTTATTATAAATGTTACATGAGATCCTTATGATATGTATGAAACAGAACGAAAAAAATTGTGCTTAACATTTTTAAATACAAAGTAACGACAGAATAGCCGCACGACCGGCACTTATTTTCCACTGAGTCATTCCACGCTGGAATTTTTCACGTCCACACCGTTGGACCCAGAACAAAACAGAAAGTTTTGTCATCTACACACTAAACACCAGAGAAATACCCACGATTTTTGCAAAATATTGAAAACTCTGTTTATAATTCACATTTTTATAAGAAATTTTCTGGCAAGAAGGGAAGAATTGTTTTCAATTGTTCGCCATTTGTTATAAAACTATTAATTACAAAAGGAGTTTTCAATATTTTGCAAAACACATGGTGTGTACATGACAAAACTATTTCTGTTTTTGTTCTAGGTCCAAAGGACATGAACAATTCCAACGCAGAATGATTCAGTAGAAAATACGTATCGGTTGTGCGGCTATTGTACCGCTGTTTTCTATTAAAAAATTCTAAACAAAATTTGTTTTTATTTTTGTTTACATTTTTAATAAAGTTCGTAAATTTCTTTAAAATCACTCCGAAACTTATCCTATCCTTTTTGCCCTGTCATCGTGGCGTTACTTCACCCTTAATTCACTGCCACAGGTGCTCGTCACCTTTTCACTTCAATCACAATTCCTTTTATCTCGATCCGTTGTTCTCCGAAGATCTCCCTCGAATTAAAATTGCTCTGTATACAATCACGTTTCTCATCGGACCACAGCCAGATTCGATTTCACAACGAAAGCAACCCCTTTTCCATCCCTCCGCGCGAACGACATCGAGTAATTCGATTTTTCACGCGTTGGTCCCCGGCTGCGCATGGTGTTTAATTGCTTGTCGTCACCTTAATCGCCGTCGCGACGTCGATCCCACCCCTCGTCGTTTCGTTTCCATTCGCGGTCCTCGTTTTGCCTTGTAACAATTATTAAAACGTCAATCATTCCGTGTCGGAGGGCTCGTTATAAGTCGCGCCCCGACTGGGGAACTGTTTCCCATGGGATATATCGAATTCCGATAATTTTCTCAATTCGTTTCCATCAAAATGCGTGTCGACAATACGGACCAGATCGATTTAACGCGCTCGGAATACCTGTAGCTCGTCCTACCCTATCCGGCAAAAACGAACGTCAATTCACGTAATTAGAAATTGGCGGAGGCGCAGCGCGATTGTCGCGAAGATTCGACGACGTTTCGCGAATGAGGGTGTATTGGGGTATGTGTGCACGAATTCCCGCGGTGACGACGACAACGACGACGACGAGGACGCAATAGGCAACGAGAAGGAAAGCTATCTGACGTACATACCATCCGTGTTCTCAGGCGTGCGAATGCTCGATGGCCCGGTAAACGACGCCGTCGAGGCCAGAGCGCTGGGATTGAATCCTGATCACATCGATATATACAGCGCTTCTTGGGGCCCGGAGGACGACGGGAAAACTGTCGATGGCCCTGGACCTCTTGCCAGGAGGGCGTTTATTTACGGTGTAACGAGCGTAAGTTGCATGACATTGATCTGGTTTGATTCTTTTCCTGTATCTTTGAGCTAGAGGAAACTCGTTGGAATGTATATCTGAACCCCAGAACCAGAGTGTATTAACCCATTGCCTTGTAACATCGAGTCAGACACGTGATGACGATTTCAAAGTGGATTTAATAAACGTGTGTATCATTCATTTTCTTTGAGTCTTCTAGTAATGATAAATAATAACTTAGTGCGATTGTAATATACAGTTGACGCAAACCAAATTCTAATAGACCATCACTATTATATGATCAACAACGTATTTCAGAGTAATATAAAAATTGCAGTTGTATAAATGTTCCGAGTAGTCTAAATTCTAAAAGATACATCTAAACTTTGCCCTGATCACATTTCCATTATGAAAAAGAACCCCAATAACGAAATAAACTCTTCAGGGTGTAGTCTAAAATAGGTAAGATTTAAAAAAAAAAAAAACTATGAATCAATGAACCATCACAGCAGATAGCCTTCTTAAATCTCAACAATTCTAGTAACAAGGGCTGCTTGTCAATCGAGAAATACCGATATCGTCGGGACTCTGTTGGAAATCAGCTCAACCTTGCGAAACCAAACTACCATCCCCTATCAGTCAACGTAAACACGTCTTCCTCGAATCTCTCGATAAACAAGACGAATCAAAAAAGAAAGAATGTAACCGCATCACCTTTGAGCTACGTTCCCGCAGAGTCTCATCGAGGTTCCGCGTACCCAATCCGTGAAGTCAAGCCCCACCCGCAAACATCCCGAAACTCCAAACATTCAAAAGCGAAAGATACCCGACAATCAAGCCTCAGACCCAAAAGCTAACATAGTCCGCACAGAACCAAACCAAAGGCTAACGATTCTTAAATAAATCTGCAAAAGGGTCGCAAAGGCAAAGGGTCGATCTTCGTGTGGGCGTCGGGGAACGGCGGTCGTCACACGGATTCCTGCAACTGCGACGGCTACACGAACAGTATTTTCACGCTGTCCATATCGAGCGCTACCCAGGGCGGCTACAAACCTTGGTACCTCGAGGAATACGCCTGGCAACGACAAGGGCGTCGCGACCGTGGACATGGACGCGAAGCTACGGCCGGATCATATTTGCACCGTCGAACACACCGGGACATCCGCGTCGGCCCCGTTGGCCGCTGGGATCGCGGCGCTGGCGCTGGAAGCGAATCCGAGCCTCACCTGGCGGGACATGCAGTACCTGGTAGTGCTCACCTCTAGATCTGGCCCCCTCGAGAAGGAACCCGGATGGATACTGAACGGAGTCAAGAGGAAGGTCTCCCACAAATTCGGTTACGGGCTGATGGACGCCGGCGCTATGGTCAGTCTGGCCGAACAATGGACCAACGTGCCACCCCAACATATCTGCAAGTCCGACGAGATCAACGAGGAGAGACGTATCGATCCGACCTACGGTTATACGCTGAGCGTCTACATGGATGTCACCGGCTGCGCTGGATCCTTGAACGAGGTTCGATTCCTCGAGCACGTGCAGTGTAAGGTAAGAATCACCCCCGGGGGCTGACACACCGATAGTATATTGACGTGAAGATGCGGTTCCTGTCACGTGTGTGATTCTTTGCCTCCTCGAGCCACCGCCGTGACACGAGCTTCTATAGGGGAGTATACGGGGGGGAAAAGTAATCGGCTGATCGGGTAGCAAACTCGTGGCGAGGTTAGGTCTTTCGCTTTCTGAACAATTGCTTTGACCAAGTAAGCTACTCAAGCCTTAAACTGTTCTTTTTGTCCTAGTTCGTATACTCTAAGCATACGTGACAACTGTACCAGTTACAGAAACCAAACTGATTAACACTGTGGAATACAGTAAATCTTCGATTAATGCTCGAAACTCGGGACTGCTTTCGAACAGTTATCATAGAGAGACACTATTTCTGCACCTCATAAATTCGACAGGAACCTACCAGTAGTTGGGCATGAAGCAGAAGCATTTATCGTAAAGATCATTTTGAGCATTTATCGAGAATTCACTGCAGAATGAAGATCGTTAATATTATAGAAATGACTGCTTTAAATTCGACTTGAAATGTACGAAGATATAAATGTTACGTAATGAATTATGATACAAGTTTTAGTAACCTTTTCGCTACAGGCCGATCAAAAATAAAGTGCTGTGATTACGATTGTCGTGAAAATGTAACGAATTTGTAGCTTTTTGGATTGTAAATCACGTAAAGAGACCTAAAAGTGTCATTCGAAGGCATGCTGTTGAAATTAAGAAATTTATTCAAGATGGAATTGATCAGTTTGGTTTCAGAGAGACGCACATCTTCCTTCTGTAGGCCTTTTGCTCTAAATACAGGAGCTTGCAATTTCATTGGTGTTCCATGTTTCGAAAAATCCGTTTATATACACTTTTTAGACTTCTAAAACGTGCGAAGAGTATTGAAAAAAATCTTTCGACTCTGCGTATTACGTGTTTCCCTGAAATAACGAATCGAGCTGATCTCTCTAGTCCAGGATACGTAATTTGCACCATTTGCATTTCGCTCCGCCAGAAATTCTTACCCCGCGATGTTAAAGTGACTGAGCTATTTCTCAGCCGGTATTTATGAATAGTAGCTAATATTTTCCGCTCGGCAGAATACATAATACATTTTCGCCGGGTCTGGACCTTTTAAATTCTCGTAATACGCGGGGAACATTTGCAAGTTCCGCACATAGAAAGAATAAACTGATCATTAAAATGTAAATTCACCGTGGAACCGTTTTTATGAATCGTAAACCCGTGCGAGAACTACGCTTTTTATATGAACTGAAAATAAATTTGAACCCTGGAATCTATTCGCCCCCCCCCCCCCCGTTGAAAGGGTTCCGCGTTTAACAACATGGCGCTCGTTTAATTATCACTTATTGCCGCACATAAATAATAGCTGCGTTATCGATTCACTGAGGAGAACATTGCAACTAGGTAAACCGAAGTTTAAAAAGAACAATATTGTCGTGGTGGAAGTGTTCACGAAGTTTTCCATCTTCCACAGGATGGATCACAAACATTTTTCTCCCGGCCCTTTCTTTCAAGGGGACGTCAAATGTTTCTTTTCGCGAACAGGTCTCACTGAGGTTCTTCCCACGGGGTAATTTGAGGTTGTTGTTGACCTCGCCGATGGGCACCACGTCGACTTTGCTGTTCGAGAGGCCACGGGATGTCCTCAGCGCGAACTTTGATGACTGGCCGTTCCTCAGCGTGCACTTCTGGGGCGAGAAAGCGGACGGTCGGTGGACCCTGCAGATCATTAACGCCGGGAACCGGCATGTCAACTCGCCCGGCAAGTACTCTTATTTAAGTCACCTCGGTCTCAAGAAGCATAACCTCGACATTGATCTAACTGTCCGCTGAACTAATTGGCTGTTTAACAACGGAATGAAATCGTGTTTAATGAGTTCAGTTAATGTTTGTTCTGTCTTTCTTCTGGTTAGAATGGAACATTTAATTTCCTTAACTCTTTAATGCCCAGACCCTTAAAACGTTATGTCAAAATTATGAGACTGATATTTCGAAATCGAAAATATCGATATTAAACCAAGCTATTTTTTTTTTATTTTTTTTTTTTGGAGGGAATACATACTTGAATTTACTTATATTTATGTACTTCACATCGATGAAACTACGTAATTTGACGCACTTTTGAATTGCATCGGTGCAACACTGGATGTTAAAGAGTTAACTGCAAAGGATGTGTTTAAACGTCTGACGATCTTTATTCGATGCTCCTGGTTTGATTGGCTGTAAAAGCGAGATACTGCTTGCATTTCTGAGCTCCTCACAAGCAGGAATCGCGAAGGAATCTGAGGACATAGAATGAATCACAAGCTAATAAAAATTGATCATTTTTGTACATTGTATGGTATTTGTAAACTATTTTGAATTGTATGGAATTCGAATTACTGGCATTTTACGATCATTAAAAATTACGCCAAGAATAGTGTTTTTGAATTATTTCTTGTCGCAGAAGTCTTAGGAAATTGGTGATAAAAGTTTCGTAAAGGTATGATGTAGAATGTAGAGTAAAGAAAATATTGATTTCGTGTTAGTCGTTGATACATTGATACGCATCTGTCATATAGACGTTTACTGATGGCTCTATCAGACTTTCGACATGTCTTGCTTACAATCAATCTAAAGCATGGAAAATCGAAATTTTGAAACATTGTTGTGGGGCTTGTATTTACCCTCCGTGATTAAAGAGGTACACTAAGATCGACATATTCGATGGTTTGGAAAGTTCGTGCTATTCCAAGCACAGAGTTCTTGTTACCCTTTTACCGAAGAAAAGAAAAGAAAAAGATATACAAGCATAAAATTATGAATTAGGTGTAAAAAAGACTGCATTACTTCAATTGCACTATTACAGCATCCACCTTATTTATCGAGTGATCATTTCCTTGGAGCATTGAGAGATTTCCTGTAAAAATGGCGTCGAAAATGGAAAGTCACCCGGAAGCACGTTTAAGATTATTTTCATCAAGATAATGAGAAATTTTATGTGACTGGAATAATAAAATTATCCAGAGATGGTAAGGATAACGTAAAAATAAAGGGAAGGAGGAAATAAGATGCTAATTGAACACTGTGAACTACTACTCTACTCTTGAAATGATCACGAACTTTCCACACAACTCGAGGCTTGCTTCAATAACCTTTATACTACTGCTACTACCAATACTAACTAAATGGTATGAGTAGAATATAAATTAACACCTTGACTGCCAGCTACGAGATAACTCGTAGTTGAAACATCGAAAACATGCTGGATTATTTAAATACCTCTACAAAATTTTGATATAAGATTAATATCACAGTATAATTTAAAACGAGACAAGCAATCTCTATTAATCAAACGCATATATTTTCAAAGATTTATGACTTAAAAAACGAAATAAAGTGTGTCTGGCTACGTACTGCCTTTTCCACTGTGGCAATCAACGTGTTAAAACTGTAAATTTCTTACCATATATGTTTTATTATTATAACAAAAATGTTTATTTAATATATTCTTAATGCACTGCTCAAAACAATTAGGGGATCGCTAGTGTAGACAGTCCGGTTACGCCCGTCAATCGAAAGTAACGACAGAAATGCTATAAATTTTAGAAATTGACATATTTTTGTACGATACAAATAACTAAATTTACTTTTATAAAAGAATGTTCAAGAAATTATTGACGGATACTCTAGACTCTAATTGTGTTGTGCAGTACATAAATGTATGTAACTTTGAAGTTACGAGGTGTCACAGAGGCTTAACAAACAGTAATAATAGTCTTACCAGACTTAATAGGCCAGCACGCTTATTAGAAGTAATTATACTGTAAATTACAGTGCGTTCTTACAATCAAAATAACACTTTGTCGACCCGTTGGCTCATAGGATCTTCTGGAAGGGTGCAGTTTAATGTAATGCACACTACAGCCACTATAACAATTACACTAAATGTAATTAACAAGACTGTATTATGAGTAGAGGGACCTTAATCCGCGAGAACGAAACATTCTTTCTGTTAATCTGATGTTTATTTTTTCAGGAATCAAGTGCAATGCACATTTGCGACGTCCTGCAACTATATCTCGGGATAAAAGTGGCAGACTCCCTTGTTTAAAGTAGAATAACTCTGATCTCCCAGATATCTGTCAGATAATTTCGTAAGATTTTCTGATTTTTTCACAACATGGAAAAGATATTGGTTTCTCCGCTGTTACAACATTGTAAGATCTCTAAAATCCTCTAACGCCTCAGATATCCAGGATTAATCGATTATCACGGTAGAAGTAGTCGACAAAGTGTTACGAAAAGAGAATTAGAAGAACATTTAAAGATAAAAACATTCTATATTCACGAAAGATGTGTAAAATACCCTTAATTCACTCTCTTTAATCTTCAATTATTTGCCTCCACAATATTTAAAGACCTATGGAAATAACTTATCGCATTCGAAAACCAAGACAGTAATCATTAGTCAGTATCTTAGGGCAGTTCCACGAAGACTACGCATTGTTGTTCATCTTTGACTTCCATTTAAACGAAGGTTCATTCTTACTCCATTATCAAACAAAGAAACACTGGTGCAGAGCTGAGCAATTCTCATTGACTGTTTTGGGCAGTTTTCAATATTCACGAGCAAAATCTTGTTTTCTACCTTTGAACAATTATTCTGTACGCAAAGGATCTTATGATATTGTTCACGCGTAAAGGTAATCTATAACTCGTTTCTACCTTATACACTTCCAGTAACCCCAGTAACCTTAAATACTACCGCCACGAACCTTCGTCCAAAACTGAAAAATTGGGTGATATCAGATACAAACGTCTGTGAATTGTTTACTTGTCCAGCGCTTCACTGGTGCTATCATCCACATGAGAATAATTCTCAAAAATAATAGACTAGGTCTGGTGTCTTCTAACTAAACTCCCAGGTGTCTAACTAAAATAGATCCTTTAACTTTCCCACATTTATTTCTAATAAACCTGCATACGATCTGAATCGTCCAATGGATCTCTCTGTTGGACAGAACCAAAATACCCGACAAAAAATCATGAAAAGAACTGTCCAATAAGCCTCCAAAGACAATAAAACCTGTGAAATAATTAATGTCAGTTTCTCATTCCCATTTCTCGGGTCCGCTGTTACAGGAATCCTGAAGAAGTGGCAGCTGATCTTCTACGGGACAGCGACGAATCCGATCAGGATCCGGACACGACAATTTAACCCGGTACAAGCGCATTCTTCGTACGCCTCCGTGCATTACCCATTCACTGTAGACGATGCTCCGCAATCACACGGCCATCGCGGCGACGTCGACTTCTTTCCTTCGTCTACCTTTCAGGGCTACCAGGGCCCGTACGTCGGCGCTGCCTCGAACGTCCAGGCGTCTGTCGCAACCCTGGACGGATCATCGGCGCCAATCCTGACCAATCGTCTGCCCGGCGACACGTCATCCGCGTTCGACTCGCCGTCGTCCTCGTCCCAAGTCGGTGACGACTCGTTGGACGCCATCAGAAAGATTCTGCACGACTGCGATCCACAGTGCGATCCGCAGGGTTGCTACGGAAAAGGGCCCACTCAGTGCATTGCTTGTAAAAATTACCGACTCGACAAGTAAGTGGATTCATCAATTTTGACATATTCTGGAGTTTTGGGTGCTGGATCTTGTCGTGGGAAACGGAGGTATGGTTGCTTGTAGAGTGTGAATGTTTTTTTATAATTAGACAGGGAGTAGGAAGCATGGCACAGTGTATTGCGGTTATTTGGGACACCTCGGAACTATGGCGTCCTTTGACCAGATTAAACGGATGTCCCAATTGTATGACTTATCACATTGGTAAATAATGTACATTCGATTAAATTTTGTTCTTTGAGCTTTGTCCCGAATAAACGGCTACCTCGATTAATCGGTGGCCCAAATAAGCGGAGTGCACTGTATTCTGTGGAATGAGACAGTAACTTTGGATAGTATAAAATATTTATTTACGGGAAGTATACTGTGTCAGGGAGCCCAAAACATATCAGGAATAATTCTTTTGTAGATGAACTTCAAAGTCATCATTAGTCTTTTTTAACCCTTCAGGGACGACGTTAGTTTTCCGTTATACACGTTACTATGTATAATCTGTTCATAAATCAAATTTTGAGATATTTTTCGTAACTATATTTGATTGAAAGGCTACCAAGAGAGTATTTAAGTGACCACACGGAGGCCGTTATTGAAGAGTTAATTACATGATTTTTTATGACTCAAAAGGGAGTAGAAGTTACGGTACTATACAGGGCGGGGCAATAAATTTCCCTGCCTGCTATGTTTACTCTGCTTTCGACGACGACTACGATAGAAAATAATTTAATTTACGGAAGTTATACAGTGTCTGGGAGCAAAACATATTAATAATTCTTGGGTGAACTTCCGGAAAGCACCCACACCTGGTGACCCTAACCTTGGCATGTTATCAAGGCCACCCTCCCGAGTAACTTCCAAAAGGTTTAAACCGCCGATCATTGTTTATTAAAAAGTTATTAACAAAGAAAGAGTGAAAATCGTAGGTACCGTAATTTTCACAGAAATCCGAACTTTTCCGTACAAAGTACGAAAGTGTCATGTATAAAATCTTTCTCTGATCAGTATAATGCTCCAGAGTTGGTTAGAGACAGTTCAAGAAAAAAGGTATGTCATAGTTGGTTAGAGGTGTGGATGCTTTGCGGGAGTTTATCCGACTTCGAAGCCATCGTCAGTTTCATTTTAAATTGCATAATTTTCAATAATTAAAAAGAGACTAGGAAACATAATGTCATACAGAATGAAACAATTACTTCGTTCACCTGTAATGTTTCCTTTAACTTTAGCGGTACAAAATAATTTTACTTACGAAAGGTGTACAATGTCAAAGGGGTTAGAACATGTCAGTAATCATTCTTTTGTAGATTCTTTCGCAGATTTCTTAAAATTACATGATTTCTGATCATTAAAGAGAAGAAAATAATCTTATTTTCAGAAAAATGTTCTCCTGAAGCTTTATTTTCGAAAAAAGTCGTACTTGAAATTTTGGTACAACATAGAATAACTGTTTAAACTACGGTACGGTTCGATTTCAACCGTGACTGTGCACTAGATAAGTAAATATTCATGTTCGTTTATTTACAATTTCACCCAGTCTCCACTAATAACTGTGAGTCTCCACTGATAACTGCAGAGCAGACAGTGAATTTGATGGAAATTTCCTGAGGTACGGCTTTACAAATGATGTTCAAACAAGTCGAAAGTTGGGGTAGATACATTTGCGACCCTTTTAGCGTGTTACGTTCTTCGATCAATACGCATATATCCTGTTACAGTTTATTCGAAAGCGCACGGCCATGTTTTCGATTGAAATTTCACGTATGTGGTTCGTTAAAATCTATCGATGATATTTAAAAAAAAAAGGTAGGTCTGATGGTCGGTAATCAACGTCCACCGAAAATATTCTCCTGAATATTTAAATATTTAATTTAACGAATGCTTAATATCGAAACGAAATATTGTTCTTGTTCACGCAATTTTTTGTTTCCCTCGTTCTGAAAGATATGACATCGTTGTTATTTTTTAACACCTGTCTGGTATTCTTTTTTGTCGCACGAAGATGAGCCCTTTTTGAACGCCGGGAGAAAAAAAATTGCTAGAAAAACCTTGAAAACTCGCCATCCGTCTCTGCTGCCATTTATTTCGTTTCGCGATACATTTCACGGTACATTGCACCATCTGCGCATCCATCGCGGCTCGCAAACGTTTGGCGTGGCACGTTATTTAGAGCGAAACTTTTTATGTAAAAATAGAACAGTGGATTTTGGATTTGTTTTTTGCAGTATAAGGAAGCAAAAAAATTTGAACGGTGTTTTTTTAAATAAAACATTGAACGTGAAGCTTTGGTTTCGATAAAAATCGTGTTTAGAAATTTGCCAGACGCTGGAATAACTGTTTAAACTACGGTACGGTTCGATTTAACAGTCACATACAAGGTCCTCATCATGGAAAATACAAAAACGTACTTTCGTTTATAATTATCATGTTTCACTGACATAAAAATGTTGTCGTCACATTATATTTATACAGAACTTGAATCTTTCTACCGTTTTAATTCCATCGCTCAGTTTTCAACTATGAAGTGAATTTTTACACGATGGAAAATTTTTTGTGTAAAATTTTAAAGTAAATTCATACACAAAATGCTTCTATCGACGGTTGTTTTCATCGGTTCGCTTGCTATATTATTTTATCTGAATTTATAAAGAATACAAAAGTAATTGATTGGTTATAAAAACACGGGCACAAATCAACAACACTTTCCTCGGATATCGAAGACAAAAGCTGGACAAATTAACAATAAGATCAACCTGCTTTTTTTCGATTGAATTAACCGTTTTAATTAAACCCCGGTTGAAATTCATCGTCTCGTCGGCAAGACAAACAACGCCTGTTCCGTGCCCCAGTAATAACGTGTCAGATAAATTTTTCCTGCGTTACTGAATGAGAAACTTGAACTGTTAATTCCCCAAGATTAAAGCAATTGCCGCGAGCCTCGGTGTCCGCCGTGTGTTCACAGGAAATGAAAGTTTCGCTACAATAGAAAATGAAGCTATTCTTTCTATCTTGACTCATTCAACCGTGAAATTGGTTGTTGGGTAATTGATTAACTCTTAACATTCGCTTGTATTAAAAGGACTCACAGTAACAAAACCCACGTGAAAACCAGCACGATCTGTAGGGATCAAAGAAATTGAAACTATAATAAAAGCGGTACACGATTCACATTACACGCCTGTTATAGTAAATCGCTTATTTAACTACTCGAAACGATAAATGCTGCGATACGTCCATTGTTACGATTAACCCTTTGACTGCGAACCACGCTTTTAAGCTTCCTTTATTCGTTGTAATAAGAGACTCTGAAAGTGACCATTGTCAAATCTGTCCTTGCTCTAGCATCAGTCATACGTTTCTTCTGTAACGACTAGACTGCGGATTTTTATGCAGAATAACATTTTGTACAGTAATTCATAAATAGACAGCGGATGTTTATGCAAATTTACAATTTTGGACACTAATATAGAAGAGACAAAATTACCGAGAAATTTCTTTTCTACTATGGGTTATAATATATTACATACTATGGATTTTAATATGTTAATAATAATACATAAATAGTATTAAATTTTATTGGAATCTTTATTTTTCTACATTTTGCAAGTCAAGGGACGCTATAAGTACATAAATATTCACTGTCTATTCATAAGACAAGAAAAAGTGTAGGTATTTTTTTCTTCTCTTAAGTATCTTTTTGTATTTATTTTTTATAGTCGCATTGTATTTAAATTACGATACTATTATTTTTGCAATAAGTATCTTATTATGTTCAAACTAAAATAAAAAATCCCTTGCATCTGCTGAAGGTTTTGGTTTTTGTTGTACTTCACATATCCCTATAGGTTACAAATCTATAAAATCCACAGACAATTGGATGTTTTTTTTTTTCAAATTATTAACAAGAGCATTACCATATCGTCCATAACAAGCGTTCTGTTTCCAAATAATTCGCAGGCTAAAGATTAAAATCTGACGTTTCGTAATACCTGCGCTTTTTATCGAACGAGAATATGGTAAATGGAGAAATGAATTTTTGTTGAAAATATTACAATTGCAGTACGTGCATGAGTCGATGTCCGCCGAGGAGTTTTCCGAACCAGGGCGGAGTCTGTTGGCCCTGCCACGAGTCCTGTGAGATTTGCGCCGGGGCTGGCCAGGATTCCTGTCTTTCCTGTGCACCTGCACATCTCCGAGTCACCGACCTGGCCGTGTGTCTGCAGCAATGCCCGGAAGGATATTACGAGAGTAAGCGAAGCCAAGTCAGATATATGAAAATTTCCTTGGTGTTTCGAAAGAAACGGGAGGATTCATTCCTAATGTGTTAACTCGCGAATTTTATATATCTCTGTCACGACGCTGGACTGAGGTGTTCGCTACACACATACTTTCTTGATTCCTCTTTAACTATATGAAGTGTAGTATGAGAAAAGTAATTGTTCTATTAACCGAAAATTCCTTTATCCGAACACTTGTGGCTCTGTATTAATTCGGATACGGGAGGCCCTGCCGTACGATCTTAGGACTGTTTAAATCTTAGATATACATATTCTCAAATCAAACTAGAATTATGTATGTGATACTTATGCAAAGTCTGAAATATAATGTCAAGAATACTTAGGACCCTAAAGGGTTAATTCTGTCTGAAAAGCTTACAAGTGTTACCACGGCTTTTTATACGAGTTTTGTAATTAATTCCGGCGTCGTTAGTCACCACTATCCCCCATAGAATCACTGGCATGTCGAGTGTCGATCACTGGTAGATCGAGTGTCGACAATTCATAGATCGAATGTCAACTATTAGTAGATCGAGTGTTGACTATTGGTAGATCGAGTGGCGATCACTGGTAGGTTGATTGCCGACTATTGGTAGATCGACTGTCAACTATTGGTAGGTCGAATATCAACTATTAATAGATCGAGTGTTGACTATTACTAGATCGAGTGACGATCACTGATAGGTCGATTGTCGACTATTGGTAGATCGAGTGGCGATAACTGGTAACTCGATTGTCGACTATTTGTAGATCGAATGTTAACTATTGGTAGGTCGAATGTCAACTATTAATAGATCGACTGTTGACTATTGGTAGATCGAGTGGTGATCATTGGTAGGTCGATTGTCGACTATTGGTAGATCGAGTGTCGACTACTGGTAAACCGAGTGCCGATCACTTATAGGTCGAGTGTCCATCACTGGTAACCGATATGGGGGAAACCCCAAGGTGCGGTTGACCCTTCTTACAGGGCATTAGATGTCCATCATTGGTAAATCGAGTGTAATCTATTGGTTAGTCGTGTATCGATCATTGGTGACTTTAATGCTTAGGTTAATTAGACAAACGATGTTGCTAGACGATGGATCCTCGCGTTTTCAGACACCGAGAACAGTACGTGCGTGCCCTGCGAGGCGAACTGCGCGAGCTGCCAGGATAGGCCGGACAAATGCACCAGTTGCGAGCATCATCTGGTGATGTACGAAAACAAGTGTTACGCGGCGTGTCCCTTGTACACCTACGAGACGCAAGATTACAACTGTGCCCTGTGTCATTCCACGTGCGAAACGTGCAACGGCACCGCCGAGAACCAATGCATCTCCTGTCGGTCCGGATTGTTTTCACTGAACGGTACGTAACCGTGCACACGGTAATCCGTTAGAAAAGTAGACTAACGTAGCTCGTAGCCACACTGATGGCCTGGTAATCTGTTTCTCGAAGAAGCTTCCTTAGTACTATTTACGGAACACACGGTGTACATATTTTTTATGAGAATATTAGATTTCTTCTGTGTAAATGAGATTTGTGCTTGTTTGATCGAAAGTGATCTTCATAATAATTATTTGATAACTATTTTTATTTTACTTCGTTACGAAAGTCTTCCTCGTTTTACTTATTTCACTAAAGACATAATTATACCTGTCTGTCTAGATACTATCCTTATCTTACTTGTCTTTTTAAAACCGTCCTAAATACACCTACTTAACGCCACATGCAATCCTCTTTTTACTTGTCTCACCCTAGACGATCTGAATGATTGTAACACACCTTTGTATCGAAGACTTTTAGACAAAGTAACATACACCCGAATCCAAAAACTTTTGGCCATTCACAAATTTCTTGATTTCATAATTATAAAAATAAGGACCACTTTTTCCTGTAAGATGACTAAAATGAAGTGTGTATGTACTGTAAAAAGAACGGACAATTCAAACACAAGCATCACTTGTTATTTTATAACTTCAAAGATCATTCTAAAGGCAGCCGACCATTTGAGGGTATCTCGCGCTAAAAACAAATGTTTACGCGGCTAAGAGTGACTGCCTGAGAGCATCGCTGAACTGTGTGTCAACTGTCTGTGTATTTGCTGTATGTCGTGACAGTACTTTCGAGCGCAATTCGCGCGAGATACTCTCAAATGGACGGCTACATTAACATTGCGAACACGCTATGTCGACCAGCGCAAAATAATTGACATATAGTAATTAAAAGTTCAAATTATTCAATTCCAATCTTCAGGAACCTGTCGAGCGTCCTGCCCAGCCGGTTACAGTGCCGATAAAAAACGGCGTGAATGCGTTCCCTGTCCGCCAGGATGTGCGACTTGCGCGACCTCGACCTGCACAAGATGCATCGATGATTGGAGCATAAACGAGGAGGGTCTCTGTGCTCCTGAACAACGCGACCGCTGTGACACGTCTGAATATTACGAAAGTGGTCACTGCAAACCCTGCCATACGTCGTGCAAGACCTGCGCTGGACCCACCAAAGACCATTGCATTTCTTGTCAGAACTCCCTTCTTCTTCAGGGAAGACGTTGCGTCTATCAGTGCGACGACGGCTATTACTCCGTGGCTCAACCTTCGAGGCCAATTTGCGTACTGTGCCTGCACACCTGCAAGACCTGCGTGTCACGATTGAATTGCACCGCCTGCCAAGACGGACTGCAGCTGCAGAGCGGAGAGTGCAGATCGTCTTGCGCTCAAGGGTCAGTTTTTTTTTAATATCATTGATACTATCGATGGTGATGGGAATTGATTGATTAGACGTAGACAAGAAGATAACAATAACTGACAAGGAAACTTTGGTACTTACCACGAATATTTCGATTTTTTTTAATCTTCGCGTGTTTGTAAAAGACATCACTAGAAGTATTAGGTAATTTTCTTTTCTACTCCTTTTTGGGTTTTCAAGGTGAAACCTCACCTTGAAGGTTAATATGTTTTTTCCTGTTTTCTTTTACGTCACGGAAACTGTAGTAGATATAGAAAATTGTGCAAATGAAAATTTAATGAATTTTCATTTTCTATAGAACTGTCTCTTGAAATTCTTAAGAAATTTCATTATTTATTTATTTATTTAAACAATAAATGTTTAACAATTTTATTACGCACTTGTTTTAAAAGCCATTAAATTTTCATTCTAAAATTTTATTGTAATATAGTTTTCAAGATATACAGGAAAATAGGAAAACACACGACCGTTAAGGGGTGGTTTTACCTTGAGGAACCGAATATCAGCAAAAACGAAAAATTGTCTGACGTTTCTATTGAGGTCCCCTAAAAATCTGCGCAGTTTTAAAAACAATCGAAATTTTCGGGATACCAAAGTTCCCTTATAAGTTAGAACTTATAAGTAGACTGGATATGTTCGTGTAAGTATGGATTTGTGTGGGTTAATTTATGGAAATTTGAATGGTGCTGGAACTATTTTTATCCTATTAAGAGTTCTATCAAGTTACAAATAAAATAAAATCCTGGTGAAGATTTTAAATATTATACTGAGTTCTCGATATAAATGAAGAAGTAGTTGTAATGGTAACGTTAAAAACACTTAAATTTAATCGTGATGGAGAAGCCACGGATTGTACTAGTTAACTATATTGCTAGAAATAGTTTCTTTCCCTCGTGTACTTCTTATGGGTTTATTAACACATTGTATACTGGCTCAGGCAAACACGTCGTATGCACGGAGCGGGGTAACCAACATTTACGTTATTTCATAACGTAAGAACATAAAACGGTAATTCTCGTTTCCTACATGCAACGATCATTCTCCTCGCAATGGTAATTACCATTTCCCACAAGTTACGATCAGTCCGCATAAAACGGTAATTCTCGTTTTTCGCGTACAACGTGTTAATGGAGATATTCAGATTCCATAACAAGATCTTAAGAAGAAATAACATTTGACGATATTAGGAAAAAATTATTTTTCATTTTCAAGAAGATTTTTTATTTTTGAATGATATTAAGAGGATACGAAGGTGGCCTTGGTTCTTTTGCTTAGTACTGCAGTACTGACAACAAAGAATTCCGAATGATAAATTGTTAGAGAAAAAAGAAAGTATTGTAGGAATACTAATTGTCCGGCGAGACACTAACAAAAACATGCTTTGTATATGCAGGTATTATAGCGATAGAGGTCAATGTGCCAAATGTTATCTATCCTGTAACACGTGTTCCGGGCCCAGGAGGAATCAGTGCGTGACTTGTCCTCGTGGTTGGCAACTGGCAGCGGGCGAATGCCATCCGGAGTGCCCCGAAGGATTCTTCAAGTCGAACTTCGGTTGTCAGAAGTGCCATCACTACTGTCGCACCTGCAAAGGTACGGTATCCCGGACTTTTAACAGAATTAAATAACATTCTTCCCCGCAAAGTAATGGGCCAAAAATGTTAATAGACAAGAGGGATTGATAGGTGCAATTCAATAAAATCCAGCATTCGAAATCTAATAAGTGTTATCAGTATTATAATGTAGACAGGGTACCACAATATCTATAAAAAAAAAAGTCACGCGAGGTAGTCATAAAATAGTTTCTAAAGCGAGGTGTGGCAGTGTAAAGGATGCAAATAAGTCCTGGAGGGAGGAAGAGCAACGGAAATATGCACTATGCAAGGAAGGGTTAGAGAATTTAAAGTATTGGGTAGAAGATTGTAGGACGATGGATGATAAAAATATAAGATTGGAAGAGATAATGGAAGGAATATATAGTGAAAGAGTAAGAAAATAGTTAAGGACATTGGAGGGAAGGTGTTAGGCATGGGGGAATGAATCAAATACAAATGGTACCCAAAGATATATGATAATTAACGTATAGGTATAATGTATTAATATCAATATAATGTAAGGTTGGGTGAGACAAAGTTATAGATGAATGAATGGAAAATCTTATTTCGTAAGCCAAACCAAAAAAAAAGTCAAATGAAAGGTAAAGGGAGGATGTTAGACTGTGGGGCGGAAAATGAACAAAGTAAACATATTCACCAAAGATATGGCTGGATGAATAGAAAATCTTATTTTGTAAGGCAAACCGCATTTCTCAGCCGGCAGGCAAAATTTAATAATAATAAAATAACATAATTCTGGAAATATGACACGTGTGTTGCAGGAGAAGGACCGCTTGAATGCACTTCCTGTCCACCGCACTCGATGCTTGAAGGCGGCCTGTGTATGGAATGCCTCGGCGCACAATACTACGACCCTCTGACGCAACTTTGCAAGACCTGCCACGCTGATTGTCGAAGATGCACCGGCCCTGGTAAATTCAGCTGCGCGGCCTGCTCGCCGCCGTTGCACTTGGACAAGTTGAACAATCAGTGTGTACCCTGCTGCACGGGCAACGAGAAGGGACCGCAGGCCGAGGAGTGCTGTCTTTGTGATCCGCAGACTGGTAATGTTAACTACGTCTGACGTATTAAACCTTTCGCTTTTAACACTATAGCTTGCATCCGTGAAATGATCCGTGGATATCGACGTCGACTGTAGCTAGTATACACGAGCCATTAAATGCAAGGTTTATAGTGCAAGTGATATCACGCGGCAGCCATCTTTGTTTGTGTTTAGATTATATGAATTAGAAAAAGAAGAATCACTTGGTTCAGATGGCTTAAGGGGGTATTCTAATGTAGACGGCCATTTTCAACGTGATTTTTGCGAATTAATTTAAGGAAAACAGTCAAACCTAGGGAGCTGTGGTGTTGCACACGGTTTTATACATGTTTAAAATAGAAACAAATTTTTATAAGATATTTTATTAACAATTATAGGAGTTAGAAATAACCGCGTAGATCATGTTGCGAAAAACTTCTCCCATCAGGCGCTTTCATTGCGTCGATCCTAGTCATTTGGAAGAAATAAACATCCTTGCGTTTTGTTCTCCATGAATTTAGCTGTCATCCAGCCTAGAATAAATAATCTAAATAGAAACTTGACAGCTTCGAAATTGAAGGTCTGATTTTTACTAAATATTTTATTTCTCGTGCCTCGGAAGAATAGTCATTTTGAAGATATCAAAAAGTTTCTAGACCGAACGATAGTCAGAAATGTACTTTACACGTGAGTCCAAATTTCAAGTCGATCAGTATAGTGGTTCGTGAGAAAAATAGACGCCCGTTTTGAAAAACACGGATTCGAGAAAAACGCGTTTAAAGTGTATCATGCATTTGGGCGCACAGCATGCGCGTTGTCCTTTATTCTTCTGTAGGTTCAACAATTTTCTGAATTCCGCCATAATACTTTATGGAAGTTTTTTTTTTTAGGAAAATTAGGAAAAATGAACCCCCTCAATTGGTCGAAGTAAGACGTCCGGGGAAACAAATGGGTTGATTTCTTTTTCCCTTACAAAAGTAATGACAAAATATAAATTCAAATAAAAATTCTCAAAAATCCGTGTTGCTTTTGTAGTTGGAAAGTAGCATCTTTAATGCAATGAATCGCAACACTGAAGTAGATAAAAAGTGTTTCATTCAATATTATCGTCCTACGTAATCAGTATTCAGCTGATTGCTGCAGCGAAAGAGTTAAAAGGAAATTTAATAATAAATTGAAACAGATGGAAATGTTTTATCGAGCGGACGTTCATTTTCTGTTTTTTCCATTTTGATAATCCTGTAGGTGGCTGCAGGAACAGCTCGCCAGCTGGCAAAAGAAGAGTACCCGGGACAGAGTTCGCATCGGCTGACTCGTCCATCTCGGAAGTGTACGCAGCAAACTATGAAGGAACCGCGACAGTTAAAGCTGATTCAGCGTCATTGGCCATCACAGCGACCACCACCATAGCTGTCGCCATTTGTCTGGTTTCGGTCGCTCTGTTCGTGACTATATTCATTGCACTTCAGGTTTGTACATTTTACTTTACGTAATATTTGCAAAAAGTTGTTGGAAATGAAACAGTGATCTGTACATGCAGAAGCGTCCAAGAAGTTTGAACATTTTGATGTCAGATGAAAATTAGTTAGAAATAGGTAACCTTGACCGGTTCAAATACCAATGTTTTTGATCAGACCAACACGATTCAAAATGCAAAAAGCCTTCGACCTTTTATCATTTCAAATTGAACTCTGCTCGATATACACTGCGTAGCGTAACAATAAAACCACCCTAAAATTTTCAATTCTTATGTTTTGTGATGAAAATAAAAACGAACCACTTGTTTTTCTAGGGAATATAATCTATCCTTTTCTGGAGAGCCATTATTTCTCAACACAAGGTTCCTTTTTTGTTTTAACCACAATACATAAGAATTACAAATTTTAGAGGGGTTTTATAGTTACGCCTCGCAGTGTATAAATATAAATAACCCCAATGAATATACCCCTGAATAATGAACAAAAATCCTGCTCAAGCAAATAATACACGTAGGATTGAGACATTAGAAAACTTGTGTCCACTTTGGCTAAATAAAATTCAATCGACTGTTCTCATAGTATTCACGACATGGAATGTTTCTATCTGTGTTCTCAGGCAATGTCGAGTAGAAGGGAAGCGAACAAGGGTTACACGCAGCTGGCGATGAGGGTGGAACCCCCGGACGACGTTGACGCCGACGACATGACGGAACTGATGACCTAGACCCATTAATCAAGCCAACCAATGACAGGACCTCTCGTCGAAGAGTCTGATGAAGGTCGACCAGTCTCGATCCACGATAGATCGATGTGTTTGCGTGGCATTAGAAACGCGTGGCGGTTTTAGCAGTCGAAGACCGATCCAGCCACGCTCTGGTCCGATCCAAGTGGTCCAAGGCGAACGAACAAAAACCGACACAAAAAAAAACACAGATAAACAAATAGAAAGAACAAAGTATAGAATGTAAATCGAGAAGGAAGTAGAAATTTTGTTGGGGGATGGGGGATGGGGCGAAGGAAAATGGTGAGAAGAGACAAAGACAGAACGATCGAAAGGGACAGGTGGGTGGTGGGGGATGTGGAGGGGAGAGGATGATGAGAGACAAAGGAACAAGACGAAAAATTCATTCGAAACGTGATAGTAAAGACACTTTTTTTGGGCGCACTGTATTGGAGAAGTGTGGCTGTTGTTCACTTTTATCGGTAGTGCGGTTGCGTGCGCGTCAGTGTGAATGGCGGTGAACGAGAGTTGTCTAGGGTATAACTTTTTAAAAAAAAAAAAATATATAAGAACAAATACGGTCAGGCGCGCGTCGCTGATTCTTTCGAGTGCGCACATTGTACCAAGTGTCGAATGCCGAATAACTGTAATACGGAAGTACGACACAGCGAAACGAGCGGAAAATGGGTGACGGACATTATAAAAGTGCTTGATTTGCAACGACCCCCGTTTCAGCGCCGCGCTTCCGTCTTCCCATTTTTTGGTGCCTTCTATCGTGAACACACGTCGTCGTCGGACCGTTTGTCTCCAGCAGAATCGAAAAGAACACGTTGACAAGCTCGACGGAATAATCGATTTTTTTCAATTTTAATCTATGACCTAACTCTAGAAACTGAATGTCTATAAATAATAACTACCCGATAGTTTCTGAACCAACATCGGCAGAGGTGTGTAAGTCACCAATGATCGATAAAGGACACGTTCTGCAGTCGTGTATGCGCGTTATTGATCCGATTCATGGGCCACAGTTGAATTGCAATGGCGTATTTGTAAAACTATGCGTTGACTAACGCCGGTGATAGCGGCGATTCGACAAATTGCGGTGGTAAAGGGCAGAAATAGGGAAGCGGAAGATGATTGTAACGAAAAGCTTAACGACACGCGAGAAATTGACGGCGAAGGATATAAAAGGCGAAGGGAATTTCCTTTCCCTCGAGCGAGTGTGAGAGAGTGAGAGAGACAGGATCAAAAAGGGAATGTTTGCACAGCTTCGTACTCGCGCAACGAACACCAACTCGGCAACCCTCGAAGAATTGAATAAGACCGCTGATTTCTCGATGATGATAATCCGACGCCGTGTACCAATCATTCCGTCATTTTCAACCAGTCGACAGTGAATGTGCATTTTTTTTTCTTCTCTCTTTTGTAACTGTTTGTTGTTGTTGCTGCATTGTCTATGCGTTTTGTTTTGTTTAGCGATGTACTAGTGTTTCCGCGTTGCTCCTTGCTTCATTTGTATTATTTCCTTTAACATGAACAAAAAAAAGAAAATAAAAAAAAAAGAAGAACGAATAATAGAATTTAGAAAGCGGAAGAAATGAAAACAATGTTTGTATCACACGAGAATCAGAGGTTGCGACAAAGAATAGAGAAAACAATTCTAACGCGATGATCACACAAACATACACACACACACGTACACACACTCACACGAGAATGGTCTTCGGTAAATCGGTACCTTTAAGAGCTACTGTCCGCGCCTACCGTGTGAATATTGAATTTCTCCTCGTGATTTGATATGAAGCTATTATTGTACTTTTATGATGAACGCGATTATAAATATATACATATATACATATATATACATATATATCTATATACACACACATACTCAGGCGTTTAAATATATTCTGAGTTCGTGTTCCCATTGATATATCATTATTACGTACACCGACATCAGTGATCCCAAGATGTATACCCGGGACCATTGATCATATTCCGAAAATCGTGCCAGGTAAGTGCATCTTTATTGACCTATAATTATAAGAAAATATACTGAGAGCCCGAAAAAACGAGTTTCGAAGTCATATTCGGTGATAATCGGAAAGGTATCATTAATTGTTAGTAAGTACAGGGAACTGTGGAATGCAACGACTATATTAAGGAAATAGAAAATCAGCGAAAAGTACGAGAAAAAACACGATTAAGTCAGTGAAGTAAATTGGAACTTTCAGTAATCGTGCTTTGATATCATACAGCGGGGGTATTTATGCTAGACCCGATGTAGCAACAGGTTACAAGAAAGGAATCCAATGACGTATTGAACTGTAGAAGAAACACGTGTATTTTTTATTACTTATTCAATTAATACTAATTCAGCATATGATAAATTTTAAAAGACTAATAAGCCTACACCACAGCTCTCGCAACAATACTATATTAAAAGAAGTAACTTATACTCTGAAAGTGATGAATTCACAGTTAGTAGTAAAAATGGATTCAGAGTCGATGACGTATCAAACATCGAAAGTAGATCAAACATCTGTTGCTTTGCAAAGAATAAACAAAAACAGCGACTAAAGAAAGTTATACATGTAATAAGAAACTTTAAATTTTCGTATAGATATCTAGAGTCTCTCTCGCAATATAGCGTAGAATAGTTAATTTCTGCCTAGTAGTCGTTTGCTCTATGTTAATTAACTGAATTAATTTTTAAATGAAACCTACCAGGGCCATAGGATTCATCAAAATGAAAAATTGATGTTAATACAAAGTAGCAAATAGTATTTGTATTTACAGTAGATAATTGATGAATCTTATGATTAGAAGAAAACATCGACATAATTAAGCACAAGAAATTAATGATAACTAACTAATGGCGAGGATTTCCAGGGAGTATGCTTTTTGAGGATAACAGAAAATACAATCGCTAAATGATTCCGGTTGCTCACTTCACTGTTCATTCGTCGCCGTCGAATTAATTACGAGCGGTCCCGTGAAATTTTGTAATTCTCCAGGCATCCCCTCTTCCCTAGACGGACTCCAGAATGCGATAAAAATCGTGATTTATTGAATCCCGTTGAAGGGAAGACGCAACGCTTCTTTGCGTTTCCCGATGCATGAAGAAGCTGTTGAAACGAATGAAAAATCGTGGATTATACAGCTAGCAAAGCCATGATTTATCGTGCCATGCATCGTCATGTTTCACCGTCTGGTCTAAGTTTTGTTGGTATTTCGTCATCACGTCAATATATACCCGTCGCATTAATCATTGAACCGTTCGTGACCGATGACGAAGCGTCGAATTTGACACTTAAATATGCATTCGACCCTACGCTACATTAATTCCGTGTGCGCAACGTGAAATGAATTACTTCGATGTTGTTGCGCGGATAATGGATTCTATTATGTCGTACCACGAACGTGTTGATTTACGCTGACTTTCTACGCGATCATTTTTTTTTCTTTTTTTTTTTTTTTTATTATTTACCGATCGAAAATGCATAACCAACAGTTGACAATACATGACATGCGATTGGTAATGACATAATTGCATCGATGCACGGGGACGCTGCGAAACGTCCATTATTCGAGGGTTGATTGACGGAAACGTCTGGTGTTTGAAGGACAAATTGTTAGAAATGATGTTGCTCGTAGAATAATTGTACAGTGACAGAAAAAACTCGAACGTTGTTTGTCTGACTACACGAGGATTCGATCTACCTATCTGTCTAAAGAAGTTTTACGAATTGAGAATTTAAGAATTTACGAAGTCATAAAAATTATAGACTTGTAATTATTGTTACTTGTTGACAATAGATATAGTTTATACGATGAGTACGGGCGCAATGAAATATCTGTAGCCGGGATTCAGAGCGAAACAAGAGGAGAAAGTATTGCCTCCTTCGAGGCATGAAGGAAGTAGCGACGGCTTAAGGGATAAAAGCTAAGATTATTGAGCCGCCCGAAGGCTTTATATTGCTCGAATAACTTAGTAAATAGAGTATTGTTGGGCTCGGGCATTCGTTTCCTCGAAAGTGCTCGGCAATTCAGCCCATGATTTTCACGATCTCTTCAATCGGCCGTCAAAGAAGAAAATCATTACCGAGCTTTAAGCTAAGAAAGGAAGATGTAGTGCATCTCCCCGCTGGAAGTATTCAGCAGGTTTGTGTAGTCACAGTAAAAATGATCGGAAAACGTACTAAAAATAAAAGATTGAACTGTATCTACGTTAAAAGAATAAAATAATACAGTTGATAACATTTAAAAAAAGTACTAACAAAATAATAAATTCTCTTGTGAGTTATATCAAATGTAGAATTCATTGTAACATGAAAATTATTTTAAAATACTGTGGAAGTAGGATTACAAAATGTTAGAGTAAGTTAATGTAATTTTCTGGACAAGAGGTACGATAATTGAAATTGTCGGAAATTCTGTTCAATGTCGGGATATGGATACATTCTTCAATCACTGTTTAATTTCCTCATTCTGTATACTTCAAATAAACAAATATATTTCTTTTACTTTTATTTTAAAAACTACACCATACTGTTTCTTTCACTATCAGTGAAAATATTTTTTATGTAATACGTTTTACCAGGAATAGTATTGAATAGAAGAAAACCTGGTTTCTAAATCGCGAATGTTGTGGGGCGAAAACGAATAAGTTTAAAGCAGGAATAATTCATTGTCGTTAATGGAGGATAAAAAAAAAATAGAAATGGTACTAAATTCTGTGTAAACTGTGTGGAATCTCGTCGCGCTCGGACGGAATAAATAGCGTTAAAGAAGCCATACCACACGTTACAACCGACGATCGACGTCGAGCGGAATCGTGATATACGCGGCGTCGATACGCCGATCGAGATAACGGGTTGCCCGATAAATTCGGTAACGATAATTCGCGTGCCCCTACTTTTATCAGGCTGGGTGTCGTGGTGTAAGCGGATATCGTAAATTCGTGAAGGCAAATCCCCCTTGCCCTGCGCATGTGCCATGGTTTTATCACCGTATCCCTTTAATTATACCGGTCGCGATAATTCTGCGTCAATCTTCCTCGACTTCCGAGGGATCAGGCTGACCAGAAAGGAATTGAGCGGGAGTCGAATGCAAGAAATTCGTTACGGCAAATCCCGAAACCGAGGGGGATGAAAAATAAAAAAATCATACGATCCCTGTTAAAGGTTGCTGCGACTTGACCCTTTAGCTACGATTGTCATCAATAGACGACGAAACGAAAAGAACTAAAAACAAAAACAAAAAAAACCAATACAAAACAAATGTTTACTTGTTTATATGCCTACTTATTATTTTCGTTAGTATCATTTATTGACACATCTACTTGCGTTTGGACGGCCTGTTTCATGAGTATATACCCGTAGTTAAAGGGTTGAAAGAGAACAGGTAATGTTAATTAAAACTGGATTCTACAATTCTTTCGTGACTTCTTTATGAGTAGATTATTCACTAAATTTTCTATGAGTTGGTAGATGGGAAGAATTTATATTAGATGTCTTATAGCTAACGAAATTGGAAAATTGAAGGAATGGAGATTCTTTTATAAGTAATAGTAGAATTAAAAGTAAAATGTTTATAAATCGCTTTAGGTTATGTGGATTTTCGTAATGTGACTAATTTTGTTTATAAGTGTTTCTTTGGAAAAATATTCGTACGAAAATCAGTCTAATCGGTCTAAAAATGTATAATCTCTGTTCAGCAAAAGAAAACAATAGAGTTCCTCTACTTCGGAGAAATCAATCCCCTTCTAAAATGTACTGAAATACATTAAGTAGAATTGCAAATCAAAATAAGATTAAAAATCACTACATACATATCCGAGATTTTGCAAGGATGTGAATTATATTTAAAAGCGTTTATTGAAAAAAAGTATGATTCGTCTAAAAAGATGTCATTTTCTTATCCAGTTCCTTAATGATAGTTTAATTGAAGAAGACAGTAGGTTATTCCCTACATTTTTCATGTGTGACTAAATGAGAAGAAAGTTGTTATTGATTATTCAGATTTATGGTAAAAATCCCTTCATATACCTCCTAAATCTCGTACTCAAGGTAACTTTGTGTAAGTCAATATAGCCATCTTCTTGCACAATGTCTACAATGACTTCGAAGGAAGAGGTAGTTTAAGTAGATCTTCCATGAGTTGCAAAATCGAGAGGAATTGAGAATCTTACGAGGCTCTTAGTCAGCTTGAAATTCTCAAATTCGACCCGGCATTACCCCCCTGTCGCTCGATTATACCGTATATAACGAAAAGCCGGTTAGACGAGCCCGTAATAGAGGAAAATCGTACGCTTTATTAGCGCGGTATCGAGCGGAAGCGAGTCGACAAAGTAGGAGAATTTCACCGGAAGAAAAAAAGGACAGGAGGGGGATGAGTGGATACGATCAAATCGGAAACAACTTTAGGAGATACGAAATAAGTAGGGAGCAATAAAAGCGGCGAGCTACCGCGCTAGCGGCAGAAGTTAGCGGTAAAAGGAAGCAGAGTATTATTGGGCGTACCTGAGGTAATGCGACCGTTTAAATTCCTTCGTGGCTGAAATTGTGGTTTTCGGGATTACCTTTGAATTCAACTATATTCACTGCTGGCGTATTAGGGAAGTGGAAGGTCTAACTCTGCTAAGATAATTTTTAGTCTACATAAGGATGAAAATTGATTTTGACTGAGGTAATTAGTATGATGTTCGTGTTTAATCAGAGAGATGTTTTCATCCCACTAATAATAAATCCTTCCGGTATTCTCATTTTTTGAAAATGTTGCGCATAACATAAAAGTATAAATCATTACATACTGCATATTAAGTAATCACATGTCTTCGTGGAATTGATGCTGTGGAATTGAAATTATGGTGGCAACATACAGAAGATAATGAAATGTATTAAAAGAAAAAAAAAGTGATAATGAATTTTTCATCTACAAATAGTATTTTATGAAATCGTGCGGTAATTATTTTTTCTTTAATAGCTTGAATAATTGTTCGATGTAACGAGTACTTCAAGACCAAATAATACTTGCCGTCATGACCTCAAAATATCGTACAAACAACGTGAAGTAATAGATTGCACAATAGAGACAACGGACTTGATAAGTAGCGCGATCTGTGCCGAAACGTACAGGCTGGTAGCACCACAGACGAGATATATGAATAGACATTTTAGTGTCAATACCCGACGTTACCGATAAAGCATGAATTCTGAGTATTATTAGCACAAACGAAGTGTTATATATTCCATTCATATTGCGTGTATCTATATTATTTGACGGGAATAAAAATATCCAATGCTTCTGTTTAAGGTTAAGGGATAAATATAACAGTTATGAAACATGAAACGGAAAAGTATATATTTTTTCACTTAACTATAAGATAATTTATTCTAAATGCATCGTTAATGGACATTTTATTAATGTTACTTTTTACATATTCTTGTTGTATCAGCGTGATTTTCGTGGGACACCAAGTCTCATAAGATGTTAGGTCTATTCTTATATCTCGTCTGTGATCTACATACATACAAATGTACAGTAGATGCTCGATAATTGTCGGTACGTTAATTAATCACGGTGATCACAACGATATATTAAGATTAATAAATTGTCGGGAGAATGTTGAAAAACGCGGGAGGTTTTTCTCCCCGCAAATCGGGAGCAATTTTTTAAGATATAAATCGTTAAGATACGTTAACATTCGGCGCCAACTATTTTCCGGTGGCGCCAGAGACCCCGTGTGGTGAACCGTGGGGTCATAGAACCCCCGGTGGAGGCGCCAGAGACCCCGTATGTGTGAGATGTACCCTCACGAGCAAAGTTATTGAGATATCTGATTGATTCTTATAAAACAGATCAAGAGCAATTTTTTGGTACCATAATATTTGTGTAAAAAGGTCGTTTACTACCTCTTTTGTTAACAACAAAATGTTACTTTTTCTTTTGCGAATATCTCATTAACTATTAACGGTGCTGGGGGAGCAATTTCAGATTCGGAAGGAGCAAATTGGGAGCAATTTTTTGAGATATAAATCGTTAAGATACGTTTACATTCAGCGCCAACTATTTTCCGGTGCTTTACATGTATATCGCTCCAAAAGGCTCGTGTCACGTTAAAGCTTTATTTAAATAGATATAAATAAAATCGTTGCTTAATCATTTACGCTATAATATAATTTAGACAACGTAAAAGTTCATCAAAATGTACGATCTAGATAATAAACGGTCACAAAAATTATATTTATTTTATTTTTCGTATAACTTCTACGATTGTCGGTAAAACAGAATGAAGCGCATAGATCATGACGAACACACATGTACATATGTTAGATTGTGTACAATGTGTACTAAACGGGAACATTAGTCACTGATTTTATAAAATTTATGAAATATTTATTGACAACTATAACTGAAACTGCAATAACAAAAATTGTACTTTTATAAATCAGACTAGAAAATTTCTATCATACCGATAGAACGAACATTCGAAGACGTTAGATCCAACCAAAGTAGACCGCCTTGGATAGTTGGATCCCTTCCGTTTGCGATAACAAAGCAACACGTGTATGTATAAGTGCATCGAAAGCTGTCACACATTATAAACGTCGATCAAATCGCGTGTGTAATCAATTACGACGACGACAGCGAAGATAATGAATTTATCCGACAAGCTTGTATCAAACTTTCTCAGTATCATGTAAAGTATCATTTCTGAAAACTCATTAGAGACAAAAGTGTTTCATATTTGTAAGTCTAGAAGTGTGATATGTGACAGTTAGGACACTAACGAACTGTATCCTTTTCTGATGTCATGCAATTATTTAAACAAATTTTTTGTTTTACGAGCATTGTGAAAATACAATTATTTCGTGTAGTCATAATTATCATGTCCTTCGTGTAATAGTAATAGACACTATGAATCAGATAGTAGAACTAAATACATAAAACAGTGATTCTTGCTTCATTAAATCAAATTACGCTTAACTGCATTTATAGCCAACATTCTAAACCCCTCCCACGTGCGTCAGATTATTTTCTGAGTCAAGAAAATCCATTACTTGTCTGTCATAGTACCTGCTTTGTTCAATTTATATAGTTGTCTATTTGTGTACTCCGGACACACACCTCTAATCATTTCCATGAAATATTGTACCACTATCGATTGATAAGTATAATTGTGTACATAAGAATTAATGATATAATCAATGAAAATTTCTGGCATAATCTAATAATGAGATTTTATATATTATTACTTAACTGTATGTTTCTAATATATGCACATTAGTGTTTTTAGTATATATTAGCAATAATGTCTGACAATATATCAAATGAAGAGAAAACTGGGAATTATACTATAGAACATATGATTTCTAATGATTCTGAGTTTGATGATGCATTAGGTGTACCTGATTCTTTGGAAGTTACACTCAATGAAAATGATACCACTAATGCTCAGAGCAAAGAGGATGTTGATAATAGAGGTAGGTTTGAATGTTTGTTATTATTTGTCGTTCTAGTTTCTGTTATACCTATTAACTAACTTAATATCCTAAGTATGTTAATAATATACGTTTGTCTATTGTCATTCTTTGTTATCATTAGAATGTCTTGGTGTGATACCTTTTGCTGCAATACATGAGTTACCGAAAAAATTCAAATGTCAAAACCGTAATGTGTTCATTCCTGGTGAAGAGGTGCATGTGAAAATTATAGATAATGAACGTAGTGTAACAACACATCCCTTGAACCCAAATCTATATACTATAGAATTCAGGCATGGTCTATTCGTTTGGACAATTAAAAAACGTTACAAGCATATTCAGAATTTACATAATCAATTAAAACTGTACCGTGCTAGCTTGGATATACCATTCCCAACTAAAAGCCACAAAGAAAGAAGAAACAGCTTGAAAAGTTTAGTGGATCTCAAAGAAAAAAAGGGTCGTAAAGGAGCTTTACCAAGGTATATAGTTCACGTATACATAAAAAAATGTTAGTTTCTTTCCCAAATAATGAAAAGAAAAATTTATTTTATTTATATTCATTTTACTTTTCAGGTTTCCAAATAAACCTGATGTTCTGGTACCTTATGAGCAGCTAGATCATAGGAAAAAAGTGTTAGAAGAGTATTTAACTAATTTATTAAAAATAAAAATTTATATGCATCATCCTGAAACTGTAAGCTAATATATTATCATACTAAACGGACATTATCTGCTATGTATGTAAAACTTCTGCGAACTACTTTCAGATCAACTTTTTAGAGATTTCACACTTATCATTTATAGCAGATTTAGGAATGAAAGGCAAAGAAGGATTAATTTTAAAACAAACAGGTTCAGGCGCAAAGACTAGGTGTAATTTTTGTGGTCTGTTGGAAGGCATGTGTTGTGTTAAATGCAGTCATTTTTGTACATATCTATGTGGAAAATGGCATTCTCGTCATCTTGTCGTTAAAGATACCTTCGTCGCCTATATTAGGCCTAAAGACGGTAGCATTAAATCAGTAATTTTAATGGATAATGGTTTTGGAATCAGTTTTGGTCTGTATACAACAGGCTTAAGAAATGGTATGCAAATTGTGAATCTTAGTAGGCATATAGTAATTAAGTGTTGGACTAGAAGAAAGGCCAAAGAATGGATGGAATTTATACAAGATGTTAGTAACAAGGAAGGTAAGCTCTTTAATTAACATAAAGTATTCAGAGTACTGTACAATAATAATTTATATATTTATAGGACGGTATTTTATACAGTCGAATCCCCACAATTCATTTGCGCCTAATCGCTCAACGATACCGGCCTCTTGGTTTGTCGATGGATCAAGTTACATGTCGTCTGTAGCAGACGCGTTAGAGAATGCTAAAGAAGAAATTTTTATTGCAGACTGGTGGCTATCACCTGAAATTTATATGAAGAGACCAGCAATCAATGATGATTATTGGAGACTAGATAGAATCTTACAAAGAAAAGCTGTAAGTTCTACTAAAAGTTTATAGTTATTAAAATTACGTAAATAATTACATTAAGACTAACTTATATATTTATTGAATCAATGCTAACACATGAAATCAAAGGAATTCTAGTAAGACCGATAATCTTAATTAAAATGTTATTTATAACTAAGTATTAAGACACCTATTAAAAAATATTCATATGTTGTATTTTTCAGCTCGAGGGAGTAAAGGTATTTGTAATGATTTATAAGGAAGTAGAAGTTGCTCTAGGGATCAATAGTTTCTATAGTAAACAACGGCTCGTTGAAAAATGTCCAGATAACATTAAAGTATTGCGTCATCCAGATCACGCAAGAGTAGGTGTGTTTCTCTGGGCGCATCATGAAAAAATTGTAGTTGTTGATCAAAGCATTGCATTTCTTGGTGGCATTGATTTATGCTACGGCCGTTGGGATAATAATGAACACAGATTAGTAGATTTAGGTAAAACAAACTAAAAAGTAAAATAGTTTTAACCATTACTAAGTCATTCACCTTTCTGTAATTGTAGGTTCAACGCACCACTCTAGTATTTATATTCCATCCAGAGGAAAATGTACCAATACCAGTAGTAAGAAAGTGTCCAACTCAAAAATATACAAACATGTCTTGCTACCATTAGCTATTGCAACTAATACAATTGTAATGGCCACTACGAAAACAATACCTGTATTGTAAGATCTACTTAATATTAATCATGAAGTAATATTAAAAATTACAAACAAAATATTCGAAAATTCGCTTTTCCAGGCCAATGACGAGTTCCAGAACGATAATGCCACTACAAATACCACAATTAAGCCCAGAAGATTTAATGTTAATGTCTCAAACAAAAGATATAGATACTATGAAATGCAATACTCCAAACACAGAACGAAAGAACCTGTTTGGTATGGCAAAAGATACCATGGGAAAAGTAACACAGAACATAAAATTAAAAAGGCAAGAATTGATTAATATGGTGTACAATCCAAACGAGGAAAGTAGTGACGAAGAAGATGTTGTAGATAGGTAAACCTAGTTTTTTACCGAAACTTGTTACTCTAGAATCAATGAATGATTAAAATATTGATATTTTTCAGTGGTACATTAGAAACTGCAATTGAAACCAGTGAATCAATGATATATAATGAAGAAGATACATTTTCAGAATACTCAGGAACGGCTAAACTGTGGCTCGGAAAAGACTATACTAATTTTATTGTTAAAGATTTTAACGATCTCGAGAAACCTTATCAAGATTTAGTAGACAGAAGCACAACTCCTAGAATGCCATGGCATGACATAGGTGTTATGGTACAAGGTGCATCAGCAAGGGATGTTGCCAGGCACTTCATTCAACGTTGGAATGCAATTAAGGTAAATACTTGTAAATTGTCCCAACAATAAAATGGTTATATAGCGTTATTCTGTATTTATAGATGGAAAAAGCAAAATTAAACTCGTCTTATCCATTTCTGCTCCCAAAATCGTACAACGATTGCAGAAGTTATGCACCATTTATTGAAAAAGCTGCTGTGCACAATGTTGAGTGTCAAGTGTTGAGATCAGTCAGCTCTTGGTCTGCTGGTTTTCTTGATTCGGAAACTTTGGAACAAAGTATACAAGAAGCTTATATACAAGCTATAAGTAAAGCCGAAAGGTCGGATTAATTTGTGCAGTAGCATTAAGTTATGCATCCTTGCAGTTTGACTATGTATTGCTTAACTATCAGTTGTTCTGATTTTTACAACTGAATATTTATTTTAGATACATATACATAGAAAATCAGTTTTTCATTACATTAGCATCCATGGAACGAACTACAGTGAAAAATCGTATAGGAGAAACATTGTTAAAACGAATTTTAAGAGCTCACCGAGAAGGCGCTGTATTTAGAGTATTTGTAATTATGCCACTATTACCAGGTTTCGAAGGCGAAGTTGGAGGACCTAGTGGTACAGCCTTACGTGCTATTACGCATTGGAATTATGCTTCTATATCCAGGTAAAAATTCGTTATAAAGTTTTAATTCAAAGATGTTTTTCTACGTGTTTTTTATATTCTAATGTCGTATTTTCTCAATTTTTAATAGGGGCAAAGGTGCCATCTTGAATCGTCTAATTGATGCAGGGATAGAAGACCCTAGTGAATATATTACATTTCATGGATTGAGAGCGAATGCCAAGTTGAATGGTACATTGGTGACAGAATTAATTTATGTTCACAGCAAACTATTAATTGTAGATGACAATACGGTTATTTGTGGTTCAGCTAATATTAATGACAGAAGTATGATAGCGACTAGAGATAGCGAAATTGCAGTAATAATTCATGTAAGTGCTGTCAATCCTATAGTACAAAATTTAATTGGTAAATCTTCATAATTGTTGTCTAATTATAGGACCAAGAATTTGAAGACGGGCGAATGAACGACATACCATTTCCTTGTGGTAAATTTGCAGGATCGTTAAGAAAACAGTTAATGTCCGAACACCTAGGGTTACTCGAGACAAACAAAGATATAGATATAACTGACATAATTCGAAAATCATTTTATAGAGATATATGGTGCTCGAGAAGTAGTCAGAATACGGAAATTTATGAAGAAGTGTTCCATTGCATTCCCACAGATAAAGTTGTTAATTTTTCTATGTTAAAACAATATCAAGATGAAGAACCACTTTGCTTGTCTGACCCACTTTTGGCTCAAGAAATGGTTGACAAAATTAAGGTATAGACTGCGACAAGAATTTGTGTAAATATTACTCTTGAAGAATTTGTAATATTTCTTGTAATTATTTTAGGGCCATTTGGTTCACATGCCACTGAACTTTTTGTGTAATGAGGATCTGAAACCTGCTGCTGGTACAGTAGAAGGTATTATGCCAACGGCGTTATGGACGTAAATAAAAGTTATACAGCATTTTTACAATTTGTTCAACTTTTACGAATATGTTAACGTACAATATTCTGTTGTAACTAAATATTTCATCATGTATTTCATAAAAATACAAACACGTACCTTCTATATAATAACGTAGAAACAAACTGTTTTTGTACAATTAGAAAATACTTATTAACTTATTGATTACAAATGAGCTTTACTTCAACATTCCATACAATCTACCTCTTTAAAATGAAATAACTATTACTAACGAAAAATTTATTTTATTTTTTCGACGATGTAGAAAGTTTTTTAATCGATATTGAAATATGTCCCGTAACAAATCAAACAGTCTATAATTGTACTTAATCGTAATTTTACCAGTTTGACTTTTGTATCACATTTTACACCATTTTGTAATACTATGTATTTATTATTGCGAATGTACTTAATAAAAACTATGTGCACAATTCTACATCATTTCATGTTTATTTTTGAAATGTTATTTGTATAAATACGTGCATAATTGAAAAATTCAATATATGTACAGCCGTTTTTATAATATACTAAACAATTTTGTAATTTACTTACTACTTTGTAAAATAATATTTAACTTTTTAACAAACACTATACTATATAGTATATAGATCAGTGATTGGATGAAGGTCTATTCTATACCTAATCGGTGGATGTATGCATGTAGTGCCTCCACTCAGCTGTGAGAATCTCCCACTACAGCCCCATTAGAAAGAAAAGAAAGCTACTCAAGTTATTGTCTTCTCTCTCTAGTGCCGACTTTATCCTATCATATGTGCTGTGTAGTTTCTTAAATGTACACTCTTAAAGTGAAGATAGCGCTTCTTGGACACTGTTGAACAGCATTGAACAGTTACTTTAACCAACTTTAACCAGTTTAACACACTTTAACGTGAATGATGGTGATGGTGACTGAACGTCCTGAAGGTGACCTGTGTTTGAGAAAAGTTTGAAGAATATAAAGGAATTTTATTTGAAAACAAAGAAGTACATGACTTTACTGTAAAAAAGTATGTTGCCTTTTAATCTTGGGTCACCTGCAACATCGAGCAATACAAATTTCGGATTTGGACAAAAGTAAGTTTGAATAAGTCTCCGGTGTATATTAATCTTAATATTATAACAAAATGAAAAAATTTATTGTAATTCTTCAGACCAGCAACTGGTTTTAATTTAACTAGTACACCTTTTGGTGCAACTCCACCAGCATCGACATTATCTTTTGGAGCTGCTTCAACCCCAGCAACAACTGCTGGCCTTAGTTTTGGATTTAGTAGCACTCCTACAGTGTCTACGCAACCACAGTCAACTGGCTTAGCTTTAGGATCAAATACAAGTACCACAACAACTACTAGTACTGGGTTATTTCCAACACCAGCTACATCTGCACCATTGTTTACTGGACTTAACTTTGGCACACCTGCAACAAGTAGTAATTTAACATTTGGTGCTTCATCAAACACAGCTTCCACAGGAAACACTACTTTTTGTGCTCCTACTACTACAAGTACATACAACACACAAAGTCAATTATTCTTTTTGAATCCATTGTTAAAAATGTATGTATATATATATATAGGATTTTATTTTTATAGCATCACTTTTTGGTGCATCTGTTACTGGCGGTGGATTATTAGGATCAAAACCAGCTACTACTGCTACAAATATAACAAATAAAGGCTTAGGAGGTTTAGATGTATCTGCAAGCAATAAAGGTCTTTCACAAGGAAGTGGTAATCCAGCAACTGCTAAAGAAAATGTTTGGCCACCGGAATTAATACAGACAATAGATAAATTCAAGTAATTTATGTATAAGATACTAAAAAGACAGATACATTAAAATTGAATCACATTTATTCAGTGTATATTTTTACTTTAGGGAATTCGTAAAAGAGCAAAAGGTATTGTCTTCAGATATAGCAAGGGGTTCTGCAAGACCGTTAAATCGATGTGCAGAAGATACAGCATTACTGATGGAACTTTTAACTACATTAGCAGGCTCTGTCCAGCGTGATCGTGCTGCAGCTGATAAGTTAAAGCAAGATACTGCCAAAGCATTACAGAATGCTGAAATAGCTCAAAGAACACATGATACGCCACCAGGATTACAATATGAAAATAACGCACCATTGTTATTCTTCATGGAATTAGCTGATAGTTTTGAACATGATTTAATGCTATTCAGATCTCAAATTGAAACAACAGAGAAACATATACAAACAATGATGACTCCAAAAGCTCTGACACCACAAGGTAATTCTTATTGATATTTTTATTTAAGACATAGTACTGTATCTTGTGACTTTCTTTTAGAATTAACGATGGCTATGAGTAAACTTCATGAGTCTTTGGTAGCTGTTGCTGGTAAACTGCAGGGAGTGCATTCGAAAGTACAACAACACAAAGAACAATATCTTAATTTTAGAAAATATGTTTTAAAAGACAATACAAACGTTTTTGAAGATATTAAAGTAGACGGAAAAACGTCTCGAAGTAATATTGGGAAACTTACAAGTGGTCCAACTCCATTTGGACCAGGTATCTTATATAGCTGATTATTAGTTCATATATTTCCGGTATCGTTCTTATTATTTTATACGTTATAATTTTACTTTTACAGGAAATAAAAGTTTTCTCTCGTCGACGACATTAAATTCTAACAGATCAGGAAGTTATGAAACACGAAATCCATTAGGTAAATAAAATACATATATGATTTCATGATATTGATATATCTTTATGTTGAAAACGAAGTCCCTAAGACAACGTATTTTCGTTGTTTCAACCACCCCATAACCATCTCCTACCTTCAGGTCTTGCGTGGATTTAGTATGAGGTAGATTTACTAACATATAACACCCTTTTCGTAGATAGTAAATTTGTTTGTGGTTCTGTAAGTTGTAAATATGTTTTATTTTATAGTCTTATTTCTCTGATTTGAATTTGATTTTTCCTTTCCAGGAAAAGAATAGAGGATCTATTTTAGTTTGTAAGGTATTAAATTTTTACTTCAGTTCCTTTGTGTATTGTCACTTATGAGGAAGGGTGTAAAGCTTGTGCATCTAACATATATTATACACAAATGCGTATATATATTTTAATACTGACATAAATATTTTTACTGTTTTGTACCTGGCATTAAGAAATGGAAATGTGTGAAAAGAAATTGAAACTTATGCTTGTTATGTAATGGCTGTATAGTTTATATGTGCTTTAACTGTTATTCTCATCAACTGTTACTCTCAAAAAAAGTTCGCTTTGACGAAAAAGTGTAGTATTTCATAAAATATGTGAACTTTGTATCAAGTACAAAAATCCTTCAAATGTTTTATGGGTATAACTAGATATTGATTGCAATAAAATCTTTTTTAACTCTCGCACGGTTGTTAACGTTCGTAAACGCGCGCATAAACACAATTGAAGGTGAATCCAACGAACCTGATGCATTCTTTTAGCCAACCTGGATATGATGCAATTTATACATATGTTATAAAATAATTAAGAGCAGTAATTCTGAAATAAATAAAAGACAAAAAATCGTCTGAAGAATAAGTACAAATGGTATGTCAACAACTTTTACATTTTTATTGTAAAGAAGAGTTAATTTTCAAAAATCATGAGCACACTAGGTGCAGCCTCCTGTTTCTGCAAAGACACCGACGATCATGCGAAAGTTAACTATCTACTGTTGTCGATATTTGTAAATAATATATTATTTCTGGTAATAATTAATCCATTGGTATTGGTGCATAGCTTCAAATATTGTATGCAAGCTGAACTAACGTTTTAAAGAGATTCAAAATAATTCAGTATACATGTTGTTACAGTTTGGGGAAATACAGTACCAACATCATCTGCTACTAACATTAATCTAGGCCCATCATTGAAACCACCAACTGCAAGTTTGACTTTTAATACCCCAACAAACCTTACTGCACCTTTACCAACAAGCGAATCAAGTTCCAGTTTCCAACTTCAAAAACCTCCTGTTGGTAATAAAAGAGGGAAACATTAAATTGTGTCTATATTAATTTTTGTACTGCTCTGAATTGTGTTTAATATATTGTTTTTCTACTTTATTTTTTTATATTGTGCAACATCGACTTTTTCATGTAGTACTGGCCAAATTTTTTGCACTAACAAGAAATTGTTGGCGTATGTATTACATTTTCACAATAAGTATTCACAAGAAAATACTTCGTTTTTAGTTAATCTGTCTACTGTGATAGAATGAATGATTCATAATTCTCAATTTACTGCATACGCGCGATTTCATTCAAAAATGTTTATTCTGAAAATTGTTTTATTAGTCAGTTACTGCAAAGTACATTATTTTTACAAAATAATGTAAATATAAAATTTTTATACAAGATATATCCTAATATTTAAGACTCCCCACCCGACGTATGCGTCCAATACTTTCAGGATCAAAAGCGCTCGCATGCACTTGTAAGTTAAGATGAATACAAAGTTGACAGCAAGTGACATCAGCAACATTAACAGAGTAAAAAGCGATTACGCTAATGCGATTGCATTCTTATATTAATGTCACGATTTCGTACCGCAGAGATGTGCTTTATATGTAAACTACAGAACACCATGGTACCATTGTTCTTGAAGACCAGTCTTGTTTGGTTTGATTTTCTACCAATGATATATTCCATGCTTTAAACTTTAAAATGTAGAGTTTCGGAGGTGTATTCCCTACCAGATTAAACATTTAACAACCGGTAACTAACATATAAGATATATTGATTTTGTAAAAATAAAAAATTCATAAACATATATTGCAAAACTTAATCACTGTCAAAGTATTTCAATTGCAGAGATCCTAACAAGCTCTTTATCATTTTTTAATTCATAATCATATTTTCTTAGCAGTATACATTTTCTTCTACTTATTTCAGGCCGAATATTTAAACAGCTTATATCACACGTGTAAAGACCTGTTTATATCGCCTTCCGACGACTATACACTGTTTTCTCAAATAGTGTCCCACGTCTTGGACATTTAGACCTGTGATACACAAAAATTATTTCAATAGAATTAGTTATACTACATCAGTTGTAAAAAATGTAGAAATAACTATAATTTAGAAGCAATACCAAATATTTCTTCTTTTTTTTTCGTGTAAATCCTCAATCGATTTCTGAAACGACGTTTCACGTTTCTAAACATTTCTAGTACATATGATACATTTATTTAATAGATAATATTACGAATAAATTTTATCATTACTGATGATTCTATGCTATATAATTCTAAACTATAAAAAATTTGCAATTGAATTTTGTTATTTAAATATTCTGCAAGAAAGTGATTTTGTGTACAGTTAAAATTGTTTATATTAAAAATTTATACTGTAAACATATACTGTTATTCTTTACTTATTATGACTACAGGAAATATTAGCTAGTTTATGTATCTTCATGTTTAATATTTATAGTTGAATGTATTTGGTCCCTGTGGCAAACAAATTAAAAAGGTATGTAATATGAAAGATTATTAAAAAAAAGTTGTCCTTTTTTGTAATGAAACTATTATTAAACATTTCTTCGTAGTTATTAAATAGCACCAACTTGTATTATGGGTATTAACAATTTAAAAGCATCTTGAACGTATGAACTTGCATTTGAAGCCTGTATAAAAAAAAGGAGGCAATTAATTTTGTGTACCATTTAAACACAGTTTATATAATACTAAAATATTTTTCTTACCTCCATAAAAATAGTTGTTACATTAGTTTTAATATTATCTGGCGTATCCTTAGTTTTAGAAAGTGTATGCAAGGAATCACAGTAAGTATTGGCTAATATTCCGATTTTATTAGAAAGAATATGTGTTAACTGAACTAATGCATCAGCTTCGTTAACAGTGCTTCTACGTTCCTTGATTAAAAGTAATTCTGCAGTTTTATGAAATCTTTCTACAGAAAAGGCTGTAAATTGCACCAAAATTGAAATGGCATGTTCAAATATTTCTTCATCGGTATGTGTGACAGCTGGTGCTAGATAGGCTTCGGATTCCTCGCAAATCTAATAAAATAAATTAATTTAAATAGTATGATTGAGTTTATATATTAGTATTGTATTATAATTTAATGTTTCTCTATAAGAAAAATTCACACATATCTCTATAGTATTTCCTCAGACTTTTTGGTGCTAACAAATTCAGGGAAGATATTTACAGTTCTACTTCCAAATGATTCATTCTGTCTACATATATGTGGGTTTATATGTAAGTTACTTACAGTATGCAATCTTTCATATGTAATATTAACTCCAAGATCATTACAGATTTCCTGTAGCCTAACTTTCAAATCAGTTATTTCACCATCTTTTTCGTCATCATCACCTAAATCACATAATTCTTTAACTTCTTCTAATGTTTCTTGAACAGAATTTAATTCAGTAGTATTCAAGCCAATTAAATGCTGTTGTATTTTAATATTACTCTGCTTTGACAACATTTCGAGTGCTTCTAAGTGAACAAGACCTTGATAATCATCAAATAGGCTTTCAAAATGTACTTTCCTCATTTTTTGTTTTTCTTCAATAGTTTTTTCAACAGTTTCTGCTTTGTCTTTAGCTTCTCTAAGAACTTGTGACAAGATTGGCTTATCCGCTTCAATCTTAAAAATAGCTCTTTTCTTCTTTAAACCAGGATCACCTTCCTGTAATACTTCCATTGTTTTCTTACCAATAGCTTCTAATGTATCTAATCCACCAGTCATAACTTTACTTCCAGTCGACTCAACTAATTTTGTTATTGAAGAGACACCTGACATAAGGTTTCCAAATCCAAAAGAATATTCCTCAACTTGTATAATAATTATAGAATTTTATTAATGTATTGATTATATATTATAGTATGTATTATTATACATGTAACTGTTTTGTATATTTGAGTGAAATAACTAATTAGTGATTCATTGTTCATAAAACATTAAATAATGATAAACAATGAAAATTTCATAAAACAAATATTTTACCACTGGATGCAGAATCATCTTTGTCACTTGTTTCATCAGATTTAGGTTCCTCAGTTGCAGCAATAGATTCTTCTAAAAGTGTAAGTCCATGCGATACGTGACTAGTTAATGTAGAAACTCCAGCAGTTGCTGTAGTGAGTAGTGAACTTACACCCCAGTTACCCCAACCCCATCCTTTAAAAGAATTTTGGTTCTCTTCTCCTGCTAATGACAATCTTTTTAGTATCGGCTGTAATTTTTCTTCAGTTAATTCTTCAGGTAACTCAATTTCATTTCCAAGACCCTCCCAACCTTCAGGTTTAAATACTTCTTTAAACTTTTTTTCTGATTTCATTTCTTCTGGCATTTCTTGTTCGGATAACTCGTGTCTTTTCAATGATTTTGTAGATACAACTTGTTCTTCTTCTGTTAATGTACTTCCTTTATTAACATCTGCTGTCATATTATTTGTATTAAGTGTAATATTATTACTTTCTGCAATATTATAATGCGTATTATGCTTACCACAAGTGCTTCCACTATCACTTTCTTTCACTTTCAAAGTGATAGTATTTGCATCTGATCCTGCACATCCTTCTGTTTGTAGATTGGAAAATGTAACCTCATTGTCAGTTCTTTCCGCATTAATTATCACTTGTTCATCTCTTTCATTATTACACACATTGTTAATACTGTCATCTTCCTTCTTCTTAAGCGTATCTTTATCAGGTCTCTTTTCATGTTTTATTGCATCCATGTCCGCGTAACATTTTTCTGTTCTTTTGTTATAAACTGTATTCGCATATGAAATTCGAGGTACATATTCCGTATCATCGTCAGATTCCGAATCTATTGTTGTTGGTGACCACACTTGTGACTGAATATTTCTTTTCGTAGATATATTATACTCTTCGTCAGCACTTTCAAAGTCATCGCTCTCAGATGTTGCCATGTTAATTTCGCGTGAACAGTAAAATTTGTATTTTGAAATTAAAAATAGCTGGCGACAACATACAGTTCCAATACAACCATCAAATTATATTGCAGTTATATCACAATCTCTCGTAAAAGAGTTATGCACTGATACAACCTTTAGTGAACACTTGTTCATACGTATCAAATTCTACGTCACATACTGTATGTATGCACAATGAGGTGTATACATATGTGACGTTCGTTCACATACCTTTCTGGACAGATATTTTAGATACTTCATAAACTATGTAAATGTCGTGAATTCGAGAGTGGATTGCGCATGCGAAAAGAAAAATTAAGCAAAATTTAAGCATTGTACTTTTTTAGTTGGTTTAAATTTCATACGGAAGTTATAAATATGTTTCACTATTTGTTCAATGTTTGCAAAAAATTATAAAAATACTAAATAAAAGCATATTTTCACTAATTATGTGAAGGAAATAATTACAACTTTAGTATGAAAAACTGACGGAATTTTTTTATCATAACATATATGTCATCCGTATTGAATAGACATAATTGAAAATAATTCAATATAAAATCAAATTTTGATTGTGCATAATTATGAATCAGTTAGATCGAAAGATAATACATAATTAACCGTTTCATTCTCGTATGTATTTATATGACTACGTATTTAAAATTACGAACGACATCGTTATTGTCATTTGATATATCGTGTCGTATAATTGTTAAAACACAATTCCTATTAATCTTATGTAGATTATTCCAGTGTGTATCTTGATGCTATTGATGCATATTTAGGAACTCTCGGTCAAGGAATGGTCTATTTATCATCTGTCATTTGTTTTCGTTACGGATCAGCGATGAGTTATTGTAAATACAGTAAGAAGTTGCAAAATTATAACTGTCAAATGGATTTACCGATCAAAGGTAGGAAACAAAATTTTTATTATATGTAATAACTTCTCAACGTAAATTATTCTACATGGTGGCATTAAAGAAATACGCAACCATATGTTAACAGTGAGAAGTAAAGGCAGTTACACAATACAAAATTGAATACTGCTTTTTACTTTTAAATGAGTAATTAAAGGTCCATGAACATAGACAAAATCATAAAATAATATAATAAGCATCAATATTCTATATGCACTAATAAGAGTAATAGAATATTATCCAGAATGTATAAAAGAAGGAAAAAATATGCATAACATTTTTTGGACAATAAAATTCGAAAGGTGCAATGTGAAATTGTTATAGAGTACACATAATGTCTTAGGTAAAGAAAAGAAATTATTTTCTAAAATTCCATTTAAAAGCCTGAACATTTATGTAACTAGATAAAGTAAATGGACACATATCTTTCATGTTGGTTTTTTTAACGAAATGTTTAGAATAAATCATATTCCATTTATGAACCAATATTTTATCTATATATTGCGGTTTATACATAAAATTCAATGGAATCCAAATTTTATGTAATTACATGGAGATCTTATTATTCCCCGATGTCGCCAAATGGATACGAATGAGAAAAGTTATTTAACGCTTTCCAAATGTCACGAGTGCTTTCACAAATCACTTATTTGACCAAGTAATATGCACAAAAATGTGAAAAGATATTTCTTCTTTTGCAGTTGTTAAATAATATGGGAATCGATGGGGATAAGATACAGAAGGAATTTCACAATTCAAATTCGGCAGCGGACAATTATCAAAGACGGAAAGAAAAGAGGAAGCAACACACGCAGTCATACTAGAGATTCGTATTCGTATGATACATTCCCGAAGGGGCACCGACGGATTACCATCAGTTTATCTATTCGTCCCGGATGTTCAACGGTCTCGAGTGCACCTGCGTTTGGAAGTTGTACGGTGGCGCCGTCAGTGCAACGTAACGGAAAATATGCGAAACCATCGAAAGAGCATCGCGTTCGTTTGTTCCCGTCGCTGTTCGTACACAGCGGTCAGAGACACGAGAGCTATTGCCGTGCGGAGGGGGCGATTCGTGAGAAAGAGGAAGGAGGGTACGAAGCTGAGAGGGGATTACGTTCGGTTCTCATCGCTGTACGCGTTGAGGCGAAGAGGAAGAGAGAGTGAGCGAGAAGCATTGCCAAGCGCACACGGTATGAACGTCCAGTGGCATGTTTCAAACACTCAAAATGCTTGTAGTTGGCGCGAGGTTGTAGTATCGTCGAAACGAGAGAGTAGCCTGTCCGTATTCTTGGCACCGACGGACTTGACATAGTGTGCAGTTTTTCAGTCAATACGGTCTACGGGGGGAACGAAGCAAAAGTGGCTTGTGGTAACCGTAACAGTGTTCTATTGTGCAAGTAAAAGCGGAGTGAAATAGTGTGCGGCGGGAACGCGAGGTAAATTCTGACATTTCTCGAAAGAAACGTCGCCGCGCTCGTTCGCGGGTGCCTGTTGCACAACCGATGGGAATTTTAGTGCGAGAAGGAAAAGGGAGCACGGTGAAATGTGTTCGACGGTACCGGCATTAGCGTGCACTTCTTAAAGCGGGTCGCAGACGGAGATATGCATTCCTCTTGCGAGAAACGACGATGTGATTCGCAGACAGACTGGAACATTCTTTCGATATCTCTTTTTGAAAAGTGTTCAATGAGATGCGACACCGGACCGTATTCACGAGTGTTGTTGCCTGTGTATGCCGGCACGGTGCTGTAAGTATTTTTTAAAACGGTATTATACCATCTATTAAATGGTGTGGAATGAACAATAAATATGTAAAAGTAGTCGATGCTGAGGAATGGTGGTAGAAACAAGTCATCGAACGTGTGATATAAAATCAAGGTCTTGAGAAACGGGAGGCAAGAATGTAAATGGAAGTGAACCAAAAGTGACACGGCAGTAGGGGTGAAAGTGTATTTCATATCGAATTCGGTTCTTTTTTTTTTAATTGTGGTGTACGGAAAGTAACGTAAAGGCTATGTTATTTGCATAATATTTTTCGTAATTGCAACAGTGATCAGTGCTAGATCAAGAAGAAAGTGTTACGATAATGTAACGGCCATCGATACGCGCTCTCGTACAAATGTGGGACCACGGTACAGTCTCAAGGCAAGATACCAACAGTGGACTTTTCTTCAACGGCCAGCTATGTTAACGGTGGAATTCCGCTCGAGAGGAATCTGAAGGCGGGGACTCTGACGTCACTCCGCTCATGATAATGAGGTATTCATGATGGCGGAGTAGCGCGCGCTCGCGCGCGTGTGTGTATGCTGTGTGTGAGACAGAAAGATAGAGAGAGAGAGAGAGAGAGAGAGAGAGAGATTTTATACGGTGAGGGACAAAATTATTCGTACAGCAAGAATGTCGGAATAAAAGTAGCTGTCTTCTATATTATGAATCATATTCAGACATGTGTACTTGTATATCATACACGTATATAAATATTTGTAATGACTAACATACGATACTATATCTTGGAATGCAGTTAAATAATACTGAAAACCCCCTTTTATCTCGAAATTCTTACTATACGAATTATTTCAGTTCTTCGCTGTACACGTACATACATAATACATACGTTGTATATATGTAATGAATAATATATATTATTTATTACGTACACTGCATGCGTATATCATATAATATGTACGTATGCCGCGTGTACGTGTATGGGTGTAATCAGTGACGTGAAATACATCCCTTCTATTTCCATTCCACTGTACACGTCAATGTGTATTGCTATTGCGTTCCTTCTCTTTCACCACTCGACCATCCTCTTTATCTCTCCCGGGACGTCTGTCTTTCTCTCTCTTCTATCAATACAGTGTGTATGCGGCACGAGTAACGTGTGTGCTCGTGCGCACAGATGTGTGCCCCGTTGACTGCTCGGTGATAGAAAATTTTGGATGGATTTAGAGCGCAGTGAAATATGCCAAGGAGACGGAATGGGGAGATACCGCTTCCGGACGGGTGGGACGTCGCGCAAGACTTCGATGGAAAAGTGTACTTCATCGATCACAATACAAGAAAAACAACGTGGATCGATCCAAGAGACAGGTATGCCACTTTAATACACGCTACCTACCGTGGTGTTTTGTTGTGCATGCGTGCACGTGCTTACCCTGAGGACTGTGCTAGCCAATGCGCGTTTTACACCGACTGACACTATCGGCCATTTAAAATATCATAGCATTTCGCGGATTAACGCGGCGGTTACCGCGATAAAATCCGTGCTGTTGGTCGACAAGGAACGTAGAAGTCGGAACGCGAAATATTTCTGACGTTACATTACCCTCGTGTGAGCGCCCCTTTAGCTCCTCGAGTGTGTATACCTACTACGTGTATGCGTATATTCATACACCGAGGACTCGCCGCGCCCGCATTCCAGTCGCCAGGGCCGCTGCGCTGTCGGTGAAAAACTCGAGATATCTGGTGATCAGGGTCGCGCGTAAACAGAATTATTATTTGTTTTAAATCTTTACTCATGCATCTTAAAAATATAGTTTTTTTTCTGTTCACGCCTTACCTAATAACGTACTACAATGAAAAAATAAATAGAATATCAAACGTCAATTGATCACTTCCTTAGAAAACCTTTCTTTTATTTCATTGATACTAAGGTGTCTAATTGATATTAAACTAACAATCTCTTTTACACATATACCATCTACAAATCTAATATATTACGATTTTAAAATTATGCATTAACGCGTGAACAAATGTACGCGTTATTATGTATTAAAAGACTGGTAGAAATTTTGGTACAGCTAGGAATTTAATTGTTAAAAAATGCAAACATTTTTAAACTAGGTACGATTGAAATTATCAAATATTTCAGCGATAAAATCTGCAGATACCGTTGAATCATCGTAATCTCGAATCAGGAGACGAAATGTAAAAGTTGCTTGCATGTTCACCGGTCCACGTGTCCATATTGTCTAGATTAGCGTCTACGTATTGGTAGTAGAGACCGTAATGTAAGTGAACCATCTTACGGGGCTAACCGGCGTACCGTAATACCGTCATACATACATGCAACCGACCGGTACCTAAAAATAGACTGTTAGAAGGGTGTTTTCGATTTTGATATCGCGTCAAGATGTATCGTTCCGTATGTTCTCCATTTCTTTTTTGCTTTTGCCATATATATTATAAACATTGGTTAGATACTTCGAAATGTAATTTTATGCTTATAAATTACATAGTAATTTTTTGCAATATATTAAATAAATTAAATATATTAAATAGATTTCTTTTGAACTTTTGTCATTCTGTCCATCCATGACAAAATGGAGACTTGTGAGGCAAGAAACATTGATTGAATTATCAGAGGGATAAATGAAGGTCACATTATGTTTCAGATTTGACTATAAATGAAGTAGGAGACTTGAGAAAAGTAACTTTGAGTACTGCTACCATTTAAATACCATTGTAATCATTTTGAACGTTTAAGGACAAATAGTGAAGGGGATTAATATGTATTCCGTTGAAACTTTCATGTACTTTAGGTGTCAGACACGTGATTGACATGCGCTCCGTTTTTATTTAAATTATTCCTCCAGTGATGCAGACACAAATTACTTCATCTGTATTTCCTTCTTTTTGTTTCTGTACAAATTTCACAAACGAGTAAGTTATTATCTGAAAATTGAAAAACTTAATTTTTTTTTGTGTTACTATCAGGGCTCTTTCATATATTAGGGAATGCAAGTAAAATATTCGAGCGGTACTCCTTTCAAACAGTTTTACTACTGCAGTTGTACGCATTGCAATGCATGGCATCTGCTCGCCATCTGTATTTAAGAAAACTCTCTCTCTTCAATCCTGCTTCATTTTTTTCTCGCTTTTTTCGTTTCGACAAATATCCAGTACATTTCTAGCTTTATATGTATAGGGTGTCCAGACTTTTTCTATCAAACGGTGACCACCGTATTGTCGAAGTGAAAGTGAAAAAAATATTATTTTCCCTTAACACATTTTTTTGGACTAATTTCGAAAGACTAGAGGTACATAGAAATTTTTAGAGTTCATTAAACTATCTAGGAATAAAATAAATGTTCATTATCAGTCTTTTTCTACTTTATTTCAATTCACTTGTAATCAAACACATGGATACTCAAACTCTTTATTTTCTATTGCACGAGAACGTCAGACCCCTACTGTTTTACTTATTAATACTATAAACTGAATTATAGAATTGAAATCGATCCGTTAACCAAAGAAGACGAGTCAGGTCGTCGTTCATATTTCACCGTATCTTCTGAGGAGTCCTTGTTTTTTTTCCGTTTACTTATTTAATAGTTACTACATGGAACTGTATAGTACTATCATTATCAGTAAAAATTCGTATAAACATGCTTGTTACGATAGCGGTCACAATCTATAGCGTGTCAGAATTGAGAAAACATCGTGGGCCAATAAAAGAACGGAAATTTCTTATTACAACCACTCGCACATCTTTATTCGATAAACAAGACTTTTAACTTTTCAGGTCTCGTTCCCGAACGAGACAATAAAAGTGTATCGGAGTCGTCGTTTCATCTTTATTTTAAAATAAAATCGTGTAAAACTTCTTGAGTTTGAAAACTGCAAAGGGTTAATTGTGATAAAATATTATGGGTCAAAATTAATTCCGTTCAGTCGATAAAAACTATGAAACTCCGTATGCGTCTTATGGGTACGGCTTTTTCTCCTTGAAGTGTTAAGCAAGGTCCACACGCGCGTACGTAATCTCGTGGCGTAACTTTATCGTGAAGAAAAAAGAACTGAACATCAGAATGTTCGCAACGCGTCTGTGTGTTCTAACTTGTGTCAATTGGTATTTTTGTCGTCATATCGAAACAACGTGACGCAGAACTCGAGCAAAGAATTGTATTTGTTCCGTTCGTTTGTTGTGATCATACGAAGTACGCAATGTTTAATTTGTGAGAAAAAAAGCTTCAAAAATTAGGCACTCAACGCTACGCGGAGACATGAATTCGGAATTGATAACGCACGTTTTTTCAGTTAAAGAAACAGAAATAAAAAATTACGTTTGTGATCCGATAGGATGAATTATAAAGAAATTATTCTGTTTGACCTTTTCACTTCAAGTGCACACAGGTCGTGGAATGTCGATCTAGGTTAGCGTATACGATATTAAAACCGTCAGTTTAAAATACTTCTGGATGTGCGACACATGAAGGTATTCGTCAGATATTCTTTTAAATTTATGTACCTATATTAGAAATTGGAAAATATTGTTTTGCACTTTACATGTATATGTGCGTCTTTACACTCTGTTATAACCGTTTAATCGTCTTGTAGGGTGCTATGGCTTCTTAATATTTCATAAAAACTGTATTACCCCATAGGCTAGGGACTATACATTAGTGGATCGGATGGAACCTTCTCACGAGCTGTAGTTTGAGAATCTTTTACTTTCTTTAACAGTATCTGAATTCTGTGATTAATGGATACATAAAAAATTTTTTCGCAAATTCACAGTTCTAGACTCGACTTTTTTTCGTCAATAAGTACTCATTTTTTATGAAGATATTTTATATTTAACTTTTATCATTTCAAAAGCTAGGGTAGCGAAGGAGGTTAAGTGCTAGGTTTTTAAACTACTGTATCGATGGTTCGAATCCTGGAAAATTAATTTTTTTTCTTTAAATATACGTTTCTTTTTTTCAATTTTGTATGGTTTGTTAAATTTTTGTCTTTTTCTATATCTTTTTAAGTTATTTATTATATTTACACATAAAATACATATAAATACTATTAGATTGCATTGAAATTGTTGCTTCAATGCGATTTTCAGGTTAGAGAATGCTATAACATCAAGCGTAATACTAAAACTGTAACGAAACTGTAGAGCCTTCTGACCGTGAGATAGAAAAACGCACTCGATGGGTAGGTCTATTCTATACTTCGTCTGTGTTTGCAGTTTGTTACACGTATCATCCATCCACTCCCCGCATTCTTCGCGAGTGGTTATGTTAAAGCTGCGTACGGCATGCCACTCGACTTGCTTCCTCGCTATGTATATAATAAAACAAATTCGAGGTAAATCCACCAGTCGATGTGAATCTTTAGATACTGCTAGGCAATCGTGGCATCTATAGGTATACAAAATTTCGTATTACTGTCGCATTGTATTTTATTGCAATATGCAGGAAATTTTTAGAAAGAAAAAAAGAAACGTGGATGAAAAAGTCGTTGACGAACTGAGGAATGAATTCGTTATAATTATGTTGGTCATAAATTATTTCGGTCGCAGTATGGCAACAGATCACTTCAAGGTACGATATTCGAGTCAGTTGAAGAGACTCTTAACCTTTTCATTACGAGAGGTTCAAATCTATCCTATGTACTCATTATAGTGAATCGCGAAAGAACAGCGACTACACTGTTAAAATGTTATGTATTATAGCCTAGAAGCAACATTCTTTTGGTTATTCTTATTCATAGTAAAAATTGTTTGTTCTTTTCTTATACTGCTTTAATGAATTATCTGTTTTGAATTCTCAACAATGGCGGCATGTCTGTCGTCACGTGATTGACCTCTTATTGGTCCATTCTGTGACGAACAGGACCGTATCTATTTACAATCAGTACGAAGCGTCTTTTCTCCATTTTTCCAAATAAAACGACATAGCCAAATGCACTTGTACCTTCGAATGTCTTCTTTCGTTTCTCGTTAATAGTACAATAATTAAAATGTTTAAAAGGCCGACTTTAATTGCGAAATGAATAGGTTATCCTTTTGCAGAGAACACGCAAATGTCGCGTTGTCCCTGAAAGTCACGTGATTTTCGTTGCGGCAGTGTCCTGTCTTTACGTTGAACAGTCAGTACGGTCACCACTTTTCCTACTAGAACGGGCGTCGAATTTTGAATATTTATAGTGGCTATGGGAATATTATTTGTAGTGACTTTTCGCAAAGTGATTGTATAAGACAAAACACCTCTATACCTATACTTTTCTACAAAGTATCTCAAGATACATCAGATGGCTACTAACGGTAAGCAGATTCGTTTGCTTACTGTGTGAAACAAACGATCAATTATTCCAGT